TCCATTTAGACAATACACTAAGTGCAAATTTTGCATGCGTTGTGATCTGAAGCGATTTAGATAGGTAGGCCTCCTATTTTTGACGCAACGCAAATGAACTCGCATGAGGAATTCCCCTGATGATGTCATTCCAATAAGGTATTTCCCCAACACGTTGACAATCAGGTAAGGTTATTTCCTCATCTTTCAATAAAAATATGCGATTCCAATTGCAGACAGGCTGTGTTTTTGATGAGATATTATTTATAATGTGTTTCTGCACCTGTCTGTGCATAACACATACAATAATATGACAAACCTTTGATAAATATCATTCTCAGAACAAGCTACTTCAAGATGCTTCTAAAAGTCTTATGAAAAATAAAATGGCCCAGATATTTCACGAGGCTCAATTTGGTTCATGTCAACAGAACCCTCAGATCTAGGTTTCCCAGGGAAGTCAGTACTGCTCAAATTCTATATATGTGGAATTTGTAATGCCTGAGTGTATGAGAGAACAATGTTGGTATGAAAGTAAAAAAATTCTACATACTTTTAGTTCAATATTTCGAAAACACATAAACTATTGATGTTATTTAATTCCCTAATAATTCCCTTATAAGACGATTATAGGCTCCTTCAAGTAATCTTGGTTTAAGGGATGTACCCACCATCTCCTTGTTCTGTTCTCTTCCTCATGCACAGAAACTGCCAGAGATGCTAGGATTTTTTCTTCATGTTATATTCATCCGTCTTATATCACAGATGATTGCACCTTGTGTATTGGAAAAAATGCACTCAGTAACGCATGCGTCAAAAAATGCGGACTTAGTATAAATCCAGTCTTATCAGTTATTTTTAATGAAAAGCTAGATGATACCTAGATATGTCAAATTATAGTTTGGGAAATGTTACTGACATTGGTTGCAGACATGGGGGAGATGTATTTCTATCAAAACTTTGCACAAAGACAAACAAATGAAATTGTTCAGAACTCACATTTCAGAAAGTGAAGTATGTTTCTCTGATTCTTATTTCGATAAAATGAAAGAAATGGTGAATATTTCATTGCCAAACATCCCCATCCCCTCCCTCTTTGGAAAGAGGCTTGTTGATCTGATTCAATGACGTGTTGCATTTCCATATTTTTTAACAAAACTACTGACAAACTTTCAGACTCCAAAAGCTAATAATGAATAACATTTTTTAACCTAAAACAATTACACGAAACAATGAAAACATTAACTAAACACTGTTATCCATTATCTAAGAATGATGCATGAAGGTTCAACTTGCCTTCTTTTGGCAATGACAAACAAACCACAGAACCAGTCAGATGTATTATTGGAGGTGAGGTGAAATTGGGTTAAACGTCGTGCTTGAGAATATTTTGCTCATATGATGATGTGCAGATGTATTATTGGAATAGAAGGGTACACAACTTCTTCATGTGATTGTCTATTTGAATCTTATTTCATTAAAAATAACTAAAAGATAAGATATGATATGATATGATAAGGACCCTTTGGGCCACTGGCTCAGCATCATTGAATTAAAGTTATCAAATACTTTTAGCAGTCCTTCAGAAAAGGTTGTCAGGTTTGTAAATATGAATTATTGTACATCAATGAAATTGTTCAATTCAACAAGATGATCGTTTTTTGGACTTGTTAACAACCCAACAAGTATACAGAAGGCGAAGTTTCTCATGTTTATGTTGGGCGAAAAAAGACAACCGAATATCTGGGCATTTGGTTGATTGACAAGTGAAAGGATATCTCTACTTTGGTGCTGGGTAGTATGATTTGAATGTGAATATGAAACACACAACAATTTTATACTCTAACTACACAGAAGAGTTGCCATAAACAAACAACCGTAAACACATACATGTAGTTGATCATTAATGTCTCCATAACAAAACACTAACTCATGTTTCTATCACAGTAAGGTATGTTTTAAGTATTGCTTCAACGATGGCAAAACTCTGCCTCACATGTTGTAACTAGTTCAACCGAACATAACAAAGGGAAATCTGCTTCATTCAGGGGTAAGCAAACCTGAATTACAATCGCAAACACAACAGGGACAACCTGTTTAAAATGTAATTCTTAACTTTGTTTCTCATCTCTCACAAACATTAACTGAAGTTTTACTGGAATGTGGGCATTAACATATAATCCTGTGAGGTGTCAGTCAGACAGTGACAGCAGCCAATATAGTTCTAACTGAACCTGTTTCTTTAGCAGTGGCATAACTACATATAGCTGCAGTAACAATTGACTATATGCATTGTATTTTATTTGCCTGCAAGAGCAACTGTCCATATCAAAGGGAAGTGACTCTAACCTTAGTCTGTCATTTGTTCTGGGTGGTTGTCATCAGCTGGTCATTATCTTATGAAATGCAGAGTCATATGTACACACAGCGATAAATAAACCAAGGTAAAAAATGAGACATACTGGCCAATCCAAATGTTTTAAATTGGGGAAAAGGACCCACAGACAGGCTAAGTGCAGGTAGTGAATGTGCACACACCTGAAGTTGATAAACCAACAGCCGACAGATGAAGCCTTGAATACACTAAATCATTCAGCGGCATCAGACCAATGTGCAGGTGTATCGACCATCTCACCTCAAACATGATGGGTTCAACTAGAAACTGTGCAAGGCAATTTGGTTTTTAAGGTGAGAAACAAAACCCATTGTCTGGGTATAACCTAACACACAATCAGCCAGGACGATGAGTACTTTATGTTAGTCTTTTACTTAACACAGGCAATGACTTTACGGGTGAAGAGTGAGTGAGTGAGTTTAGTTTTACACACTCAGCAATATTCCAGCTATATGGCAGTGGTCTGTAAAAAATTGAGTCTGGACCAATACAATCCAGTGATCAACAGCATGAGCATTGATCTACGCACTTGTGATATGATGACCTGTCAACCAAGTCAGCGAGCCTGACCACCTGATCCCGTTAATCGCCTCTTACGACAAGCATAAGTTACTGAAGATCAATTCTAACCTGGATCTTCACGGGTCTTATACGTGAAACGTAATGTATGAATGGTGATGATGACATCACCTGTTCATCAACTCAAGTCATCAATGGCACAGCCTGACTGTATCCCTGCAGCCGACAGGTCCAAAGCACTTTCAGGGTGTTGATTGTAATTTGCATCAAATGGTACAGGATATATTAAACCTTACAAGCTGGGGAACTACAAAACTTCATGCTGGTTATGCAAACAAAGTTGTACCTGAGTTCAGGATCTATATTTAAGCCTCCACAACAGTGCTACCTTCTTCACAATACTCAGTAGTCCTGGGACCCATTGACATCCCCGACAACACGAGGCAGTGGTTACTCCAGCAGTATCTGGTATGTATCTGTCTCCAGCAGTCTGCCCATGTTGAGGCAGTCCGCCATCCACTGAGTAGTCACAATCGCTACATCAGGGTTCTCACATACAACTCCCTTCAATATCTGAAAGTAACAAAACACTAGGACATAATACCTGAAATAAGATTTAAACAAGAGTCATCAGAAAATGACAAATCCCCCCTGGCCCCACAAATTTGAAAGAACAAATCATCTAACAGTTACTTAAAGTCCAACTTGATTTTTTTAGATTAAATCCAAATCGTTTCCATGGAAGTCAAGAAAAACAAAAATGCCAAAAATAAGCAAATAGCAAAAGGCACTACTTTGGGGTCTGTTTGACATATCTGCCAAGTTTTGTTGATAGGTATTGAGAGTTTTTGTGTTATGGTCCAGAAATGAAATCCACCCCTTTTTTGAGACTAAGTCCAAATTGTTTCCATGGAAGCCGTGAAAAATATAAATGCCAAAAGCAGAAAGGGTAGATGAAAAAGGTGAGCTAACACATCTGCATATTCCACTGCGAAACAAGCTTGATTCAACTGTGATACTGATTATATTGTTTTCACAAACCTCTCTGTCTGCTCCCTCTAGGATGACCACATGTGTTGTGGCCAAGCTGACAGTGGTGTGGATGTCTCCATCATATGTAGCATTGTTAAGGTCCACACACAGGTACAACAGATGAGAACATACAGGGGGAGGGAACAAACTAATACATTATTCTGAAGTACATTCAACAAAGATACAGCCCTCTTGTGGCTCACCCAGACATTGAGAATATCATACCACCTGCCATGCTGTTGGTGTCAGATGATGCCATGCAATCAAACAAGACACTGAGCCTGACCACCCAATTCACTATTTAGTCGCCTCTTATGACAAGTTTGCTTATTGTGTTCTTGTGTGGTGTTTAACACAGCAGTTAGCAATATCCAGCTACACCTGAACATAATCAAGTCTGGACTAGATGATCCAGTGACTGGTATCATGAGGTGAGGTGACATGGGGATTAACGTTGTGCTTGAGAATATTTCACTCATATGATGACGTGCATGCGTGTGTATGTGTATGTGCGGCTGCTTGTACTAGCCCAGACTTAAGCTGGTTTTATAGTGCTAGCCCACTGAGATACCATGCCGCAGTGAAGCATGAATACCCCACTCAGACACTTTATACTGACTCCGAGCCGACCAGTCTTTGTTGTACCCATTAATGTTGAGCGCCAGGCAGGGACCAACAAGTACCATACTTTAACTTCTTTTGGTATGACGTGGTCGGGGATCGAACCCGCAACCTTCTGCTCTCCGGGCGGATGCTCCAACCACTACACCACGGAGGCGGTTGACTGGTCTCATGAGCATTGATCTATGCTGCACTTGGATATGATGGCATGCAGCCAAGTCAGTCTACTAGAGCACCTGATCCCATTTGTCAGCCAAGTCAGTCTACTAGACCACCTGATCCCATTTGTCAGCCAAGTCAGTCTACTAGACCACCTGATCCCATTTGTCTCCTCTCACAACAAACATAGTTACCTACTAGAACAAGTATGGCTTTCTGGAGATGAGTCATGATACAAGGTCTGTCACAGATGTGACAGAAGTGATGTGGTCAAGGATATGCAACAATATATCTTCTGTAGTACTTGCGGTCATCGTCTGGGATGTCATGGAGGTAGATGGAGCAGCCTGTGAAGTAGGTGGGCAATGGTGAGGAGCTCCGCCTGGATGATGCCCCACTACTCAGTCGCTTCAGAACTGTGAGATGTACAGTACATTGTCAGGCTAACATCAGGGAAGTCATGATGTTTCGTGCACAAGTGCAAAATATTTAACATTATCAATGTACAGTCAAATCCCGATGAGTTGAATCTCTGGGGACCAAGTAATGTATTCGAGACATAGGTATGTCTGTGAGGGTAGAAAAAAAGATGATCCCGTCATAATTCCTCCGCCTAAGCAGTTGTTTATCTAATGATTTCCCTATCACTAATAGGGGCACCTTATCAGTTCCAGTCTGATCAGCACAGACAGTGATTTCCGTAAAATCACTAATCTGCCTTTTGAACTCACCCGTCAAAGGCCGAAATTTGTTGGTTGGATCAGTTTGCTACACCAATCAACTTCTCATTGACTGACTTCGGCTTATGTATACAAGATTGCTGTTGTTTGAATCTCATGGGACCAAATTTTCTTCTCGAGTCATCGTGTGTATTTATGAGACGAATTCGTGTAACCGGAAATCAAATGATGACAACTATAACAGGGAATGGTCTGGACCAACAGGTACTTCGAGTTATGCATAATATTCGAGACACTGGCATTCGACTCATCAGGATTTGACTGTATATATATGACATTATTATTGAACCTAGAAAGAATACTGTCTTATAAAGTGAGCAACAACATTCTGCAATGTTGTTTATAGATTACGTATAAGTGGGTGACATCTCAACAAGGGTGAACATGTTTACTACAGAGGTATAGAATAACACAGATGTTTTGGAGTAAGAACGTGTTACTTTTACTGTGGGAATCAACTCCTTGAGTTAGTACTGTATCTGCTTCTATGAATTGTTTTAACAGATGAAATAACGAAAACAATGCATTTCTCATATCATATCTATAAATGTGTTTTACATTTGAGAGGTCTTTCTGCTGCTGCTGCTGATGATGATGTGGATGGGCTGGCTGAGGGTGATGGCGGTGGACTGGCGGGGGTGGTGCCTTCCGCTTCTGTCTCCGGGGAAAGTAATAACTTCACAGAGTTGAGGAAATGACACGAGCTACTGCTATATAACCAGTCAGTCAGAAAGTATACATGTCATAATTAGATAAGCTCAATCTAAAAAGAACAAAATTTGAAATGAAATTTTTGTGTACAGTATACTACCATTATAACGAATGCAAACGGGGAAACTTGTTTTAGTTAATTATAACCATAGTTAATTATATACATTTGGACTAAAATATACAAGTGGTCAGGACAGAAATAAACAGTTGGTATATCCATCAGTTGTTACAAACATGTTTGTTAGAACTGTGGTTTACTGCAGGTGAATGTTTCTAGAGTCAAATAGTGCCACGGCCCGGTGGCTCACATGGATGTTTCTAGAGTCAAATAGTGCCACAGCCTGGTGGCTCACATGGATGTTTCTAGCCAGTCAAATAGTGCAAATAGTGCCACGGCCTGGTGGCTCACATGGATGTTTCTAGAGTCAAATAGTGCCACGGCCCGGTGGCTCACATGGATGTTTCTAGAGTCAAATAGTGCCACGGCCCGGTGGCTCACATGGATGTTTCTAGAGTCAAATAGTGCCACGGCCCGGTGGCTCACATGGATGTCAACAATATACCATTTCAATAAAGACAGACACTTCAAGGGCATGTAAAACAGAAAACAAGTATCACAATTTTGTTGCAAATACCAGTTTTCCTGGACACATTTTGTCAATGAGAGAAAACTTCATAACAATTTGAGACTGTGTTAAGATGCTCTATAATCTGCTTCAAAACTAAACCTATTTGGCATAACAAAGGTTTTCATTGGTAGATATGCAGATTTGTTTGCATGCATCTTGTGATGCTTAGCTGCAAAACACATAGAGTTTCTGCTTTTTACGTTAATCCACCAAAACTAACATTAAACACATTTTAGTATGTAAAACTTGTTTATAATCAAAATGTGACAGGATGAAATGTTTGTATATATTTAGTGTTTTTATTCGTTAGTTTTAACTGAATTAAATATTCAGTTTAGTGTATTTTAAACATTATATACTTCACTCTCAGCTTCTCTTAACCCCTCTCTCAGCTTACTGCATGAGTTTTCTGCCTCAGCCAGTCACCTAGAGCCACACAATAGCCTGCCCAAGCGCGCCACTTACTGTCCCTTTGTCATAAACCTTGTTAGCTTACTGTCCCCTGTTTTAAGGTTTGAAGTTTATAATCAGTTTTCAGAACGTTTCAACTGTCAACTGGTCACAAGGCATTTGTGGATTTTGAATCTCACACGTTTTGAATTATTTGGACATTTATAGGAGCTCTTGAGATCATTTCTGAAGGTTAGTCTATTTCCATACTTTTTGTAGTTTGTACATACTCATTGGATGTATACGCGCATTGTGACTCATTGGATGTATACGCATATTGTGTTTATGCGTTGATAATTTGGCTGCTTTGTCATATTGTAAATATTGAGTAGTTTGTGATAACTAGTTGTGTTGCAGAATGTAATGCATTATAAGTCTAATTATTTACAAACGGTAAATAATTCAATAATTCAGTAAGCTATTTATCAGTGTTAAACTTAATCTTTAAGTACTATACAGCTGTCGTATGAATGTGTAAATGTATGAATGTATGAATGTGTAAATGTATGAATGTGTAAATGTATGAATGTGTAAATGTATGAATGTATAATGTAGAATGAAGCAGGGTTTTACCATTATATATATTTTAAATGTTTCTCATTAATCAACAATAACTAAACGTATTTGTTGTATTGTTATTGCTGTCATTTGATAGTCTGCACAGTGTGTATATATGTTTCATTTATTCGTGCAGATGTAGGTGTATTGCTCGTGAAGCTGTCGTTGTGTACTGATTATACCCAGGTCCACACACTTGGTGGTTTATTATATTTCATATATGCATTGTGTAATGTCTACATGATAAGAAATGCTTGTTTGCCTATATGATATGATATGTATATGCCTATCTATGTATGAATTAAAGTATAAATGGAATGTGTCATCAATGAAATATTGAGGCAATGTATATGGAATAGATTAGCAATAATTTTTGTAAATGGTTATATTTAAAGATATTAATGATTGATATTATCTATCAGCATATATTTATGTTTTGTCTAAAGAATGTTTTAATTGTTTCAGGGTTTTCTACATGAACTATCAGAAATAAAGGGCCGCCATAATGCGAACACCACCGTGTCTGTTCTAATGATGAAACAGTTCCGGTTTCAAAAATATAACTGTAACACCAGCTTTCTAGGACAAACATATGGTTTGGGTACTGTAAAACATCTGCTGTCCTGCTGCCTATTCCATACAATGAATGACTGAGGGAAATTGTGTATTCATTCCAAGGGTTATCCAGCATATTAATCAAATATGATGGAAATCAATGTAACAATGAATAGAAGGTATATCCAACTCATCAAAGATTGTCATCCCCTGCCACACGTAAGTATTTAGTTCATATAACCACTACAGTCAGAACACAATAGAGTGTTCAGTACAAAAGCATTTTAGAAAACTATTGCCGACCATAGCCTGGTCCAAGTGATGAAAGGTGATGTGTGACCCAGCCGCGACGTATATTCCTGGGCTGTATAAGAGACATGAATGTCATGTTTTCTCCAGTCCAAACTCTGCATGATTTGTGTTGGTGACAGCAGTCCAATCAAAACAAACTCTTACAGCAGTGAAGGGGTGAGACAGTTCTCCTGATCCAGACAAGGATACATGAAGGTGGGTATTCCAGCAGAGGCCAGGTGTTTCTGAATCAGTCTCTCCGTGCCGTACCAGTTGAAGCCAGGAGTGTTGTGACCAATACGTGGAAGGTGGACACTGGCTGCACAACATAAACACAACAGTGGACACTGGCTGCACAACATAAACACAACAGTGGACACTGGCTGCACAACACAACAGTGAACACTGGCTGCACAACATAAACACAACAGTGAACACTGGCTGCACAACATAAACACAACAGTGAACACTGGCTGCACAACATAAACACAACAGTGAACACTGGCTGGCTGGCTGCACAACATAAACACAACAGTGAACACTGGCTGCACAACATAAACACAACAGTGGACACTGGCTGCACAACATAAACACAACAGTGGACACTGGCTGCACAACATAAACACAACAGTGAACACTGGCTGCACAACACAAACACAACAGTGGACACTGGCTACACAACACAAACAACAGTGAACACTGGCTGCACAACACAAACACAACAGTGAACACTGGCTGCACAACATAAACACAACAGTGAACACTGGCTGCACAACATAAACACAACAGTGGACACTGGCTGCACAACACAAACACAACAGTGGACACTGGCTGCACAACATAAAAACACAACAGTGAACACTGGCTGCATAACACAAACACAACAGTGGACATTCCTTGATTCAGTTAGCTATTGTGGTAATGCCAGAGTATACATCTGCTTGTCATGAGATAATGCAACAAGGACATTAACTGTCATACCTTTATGTTTCTTGGCAACAGAGTGAATCTTCTCCAGTCCAACTCGAAGTGCTGACAATTTGATGCCCGAGAGGTTGTTTCTCTTGTCTCTGTGCTGGGCTATGAGCAGAGTCAACTGAAACAAGCAGGTTTTATATCAGATAGTTTCATCTCAAGAAGGTTGAGCTATTGTTCTCATTCTGATCTTTATGAGTTCTAAACACTATTAAACGTTGTGTGTGAATTGTTGTTGCACTGGGCATCAACAAGACTTGAAAGCTTATCTGTAATATTTTTCTGTAGAAAAATTAAAAAGTGAACAATAAAGAAAACAGATTTTCCAAAAGAAAGGCAACAAGAAGGTATACAAATTCACTAAACAAAGGGGCATAACTCCACTATACATCAGACAGGGCCACTGTAACTGACCTGATAAGGTTGGAAGTTGTGATGGATACTGATCATATCATTTTGTCTTGTGTTGTGTAGGTGTAACTGGACTATTCCGACACAAATATAGATATTGAAACCATACATGTTCAAAAAAATGTTTCAAAACAAACAAGAATACTCTAAATGAAGACATGCATTTGGTAATTATTAGCTGTGGAATGTGGTGTTGTATGCTGGGTGAGTTGTTCCTGTGTATGTGATACACACCCACTCATGGCAATCCTCAGCGTCCAGACACACCAGGTGACAGTCCCCCAGGGCCAGATCTACAACACACCACGCCTAGACACTGACATGGAAAACAGTCACTTCACATATTTCCATCCATCACACAGCTGCAACCTTGACATGTATCCATAGTAAAATGTGTTTTCAATCCCATAAAGTTATTTTTAATTAAGAGTACATATTTGATAAAATTATTTGTCCAAATAGGAATAAGCCAACATGTTTTCTACGTTATTGTCAAGCTGATATTATCCCCATAAGTGCTTCCCACCTTTCATCTTGCCTGCCAGCTCGTACTGTGTCTGTGGGTTGGGTGACCTGGCTGAAAGGGCCGAGAACAGACCTCCCCGTCCCCACTGACCAGCATCGTCTGCAACATGTACAACACAGGTCACTACATGGGACATCAGAAGACAACACCAGTCTTGTGCCTGTTGGACCTATAGCTGGAGTAAGCTAATTAATGAATTGTGTCTTTCTGCAAATTCTATATGCCTGGCTGATGTGACTCACCTGCACAGTGGACAATGATGTTGTTGAGGGTGCCGGCATCACTAGGGTGGGTGACATCACCACTCACATACTGTATAGCACGTCGTCTGCCATTCTCCTCCTCCTCTTCTTCTCCATCCTCCTCCTGGGAGTCTTCTTCCTCGCTGTTCAAGGTTACATTGCATGACGTATAGTTGTTGGCCCTCCACAGTTTTTCCCTGTTGTAGAAAACACAAACATGTGCACATGACAAACACTACCGTTATGGCTGTGTACACATTAGACAGTGTACTGTTCGTGTCTTTGTACACACGACTGTCACTGTGTACACATGAGATGTACTGTCACTGTGTACACATCAGGTGTACTGTCACTGTGTACACATGAGACAGTGTACTGTTCGTGTCTTTGTATTGTCAATGTCACTGTCACTGTGCACACATCAGGTGTACTGTCACTGTGCACACATCAGGTGTACTGTCACTGTGCACACATCACTGTGTCACTGTGCACACAGCACGTGTACTGTCACTGTGCACACATCAGGTGTACTGTCACTGTGCACACATCAGGTGTACTGTACTGTGTCACTGTCACTGTGCACACATGAGATGTACTGTCACTGTGCACACATCAGGTGTACTGTCACTGTGCACACAGCACATGTACTGTCACTGTGCACACATGAGATGTACTGTCACTGTGCACACATCAGGTGTACTGTCACTGTGTACACATCAGGTGTACTGTCACTGTGCACACATCAGATGTGTACTGTCACTGTGCACACATCAGGTGTACTGTCACTGTGCACACATGAGATGTACTGTCACTGTGCACACATCAGGTGTACTGTCACTGTGCACACATCAGGTGTACTGTCACTGTGCACACATCAGGTGTACTGTCACTGTGCACACATCAGTGTACTGTCACTGTGTACTGTCACTGTGCACTCATCAGGTGTACTGTCACACATGTGTACTGTCACTGTGCACACATCAGGTGTACTGTCACTGTGCACTGTCACTGTGCACACATCAGGTGTACTGTCACTGTGCACACATGAGATGTACTGTCACTGTGCACACATCAGGGTGTACTGTCACTGTCACTGTGCACACATGAGGTGTACTGTCACTGTGCACACATCAGGTGTACTGTCACTGTGCACACATCAGGTGTACTGTCACTGTGCACACATCAGGTGTACTGTCACTGTGCACACATGAGATATGTACTGTCACTGTGTACACATGAGATATCATGTACTGGACCGTGTACACCTGAAAGGGTGGACACATCTAATGTACTGCCACCTGTCTAATCTACAGGTGTACTGCCACTGTGCACCTAATGTGTACTGCCTGATACACCTGATAGGGTGTCTAATGTACACTTGATAGGATGGACTGTCTAATGTACACCTGATAGGGTGGACTGTCTAATCAACACCTGATAGTGTGGACTGTCTAAAGTACACCTGATAGGGTGGACCGTTTAATATACACCTGATAGGGTGGACTGTCTAATGTACACCTGATAGGGTGGACCGTCTAATGTACACCTGATAGTGTGGTCTGCCTAATGTCCATCTGATAGGGTGGACCGTGTAATGTACACTTGATAGGGTGGACTGTCTAATGTACACTTGACAGGGTGGAGTGTCTATTGTACACCTGATAGGGTGGACTGTCTAGTGTACACCTGATAGGGTGGAGTGTCTAATGTACACCTGATAGGGTGGACCGTCTAATGTACACTTGATAGGGTGGACCGTCTAGTGTACACCTGATAGGGTGGACTGTCACTTGAATTAGGTCAGCTTACCTCTTCTTGCGCTGCTCCTGAGCTCGTCGTATCTCTTGTTCCTCTGCCAGCTTGGCACGCTTCTCTGCTGCTTCCATCCTCTGTAAGAAATATCTACTCATACGCAACTGTACCAACAAAGGGTCGAAACAGACAAAACATTCCCATCACCCAACTTGAATATGAAGTTTATTGAAAGAAATTTCTGTCAGATGATTTTATTTGTGCATTTATCATACTGTGATAAAACGTTTATGGGATTAATTTTTAGCATTACTTACACGACTAATCATTTGATAAAACATAATAAAATCCATCCTAGACATATACAGTGACAGTCTGTACACACAACAAATGGTCCCTACCCTCCTCTTGCGCTCCTCCAGCTCCTGGGGAGTCAGTTGTTTGCGGGCCTTGCGCTGGAGCTCAGGCAATGGGCCAAGGAGACTTTTCTCCTTCTTCATGCGTAGAGTTCTCTCCCCAGATGCAATTTCAGACTGTACAATGTGCTCCACTGACAAGACAACACAGGTTGCTTTAAAACTTCCACAGATTACCTGCACATTCATATACAGTTTCTTTTACTAATACATATTAGGAACCTGATTTCAATATTTATGTCACTGGCTCATCAAAGTTACAAACATCAAGGCTTGTTCCATTAAATGAGAATCTGCTCAATTTAACTGACTGAGTTTGGTTTTACGCCGCTTTTAGCAATATTCCAGCAATATCACGGCGGGGGACACCAGAAATGGGCTTCACTCATTGTACCCATGTGGGGATTCGAACCCGGGTCTTCGGCGTGACGAGCCAACGCTTTAACCACTAGACAACCCCACCACCCCTGCTCAATTTAAATAAAATGTATCAAAATAAACCTAACCAACTAACCCTCAAGAAGATCTTCAACAGCCTTCCTGTCAGCAGCTGTGGTATCCTTCGAGTAGTCTGTGCCTTCAAACATATACATGCTCTGGGGAGCATCATCACCCATATTGCCCTGTATAACACAGCAAGACCACACCTTAAACACTAAATGTTTCTTTGTTTGTTGTCGAACTCCACACTCAGCAATATCCAAGCTGCATGATGACGGTCTGTCAATAATCAGGTCAAGACCAGGACATCATGAGCAGTGATCTATGCAATTGGGATAATAGTTACTAAATGACCCCAGGCATTGCAATCATTAAGCACCAGAGCTTGATACAGTAAAGATTGTGTTCAGAATTACCTCCCCTGTCTGGTCCTCTTCCTCCTCCACCTTTTCCTCCAGCTGCCATGCCCCATCAATGGTAGCTCCCAGGTACTTCTCCAGGTCGATATCACTACTGTCCTCCTCATCGGCATTCAGCAGCTTGTCTACACCGAACCTCAGGACATCTTGAAGCTGACACAGACAATAGATCACAAATCATAGATCACTTGACCACAAGACCACATACTATAGACCATAGACCAAAGCTGTTATGTATGTCAATATGACCTCTGTTTGATCATCTGTCAGGATTCAGTCAACACCTGGATACAATTCTGGGTGTACAGCAGTAGTGACACATTACCTTCAAATATTAATATATATTTTGAGAAAATGTTGGTGAATTGGTCACAAATTACAAATTGGTGGAAAACTATTCTGAGTAGATTTATGATTGTCAGCACAAAGCTATTCTCAAAGTTCTGAATATAGTTCTGAATGTGAGTAGGCGACTGTTTTGAGTATATTTCTGAATGTGAGTAGGCAGCTGTTCTGAATATAGTTCTGAATGTGAATGGTGACTGTTTTGAGTATATTTCAGAATGTGAGTAGGCAGCTGCTCTGAATATGTTTCTGAATGTGAGTGGGCAGCTGTTCTGAATATGTTTCTGAATGTGAGTGGGCAGCTGTTTTGAATATATTTCTGAATGTGAGTAGGCAGCTGTTCTGAATATAGTTCTGAATGTGAATGGTGACTGTTTTGAGTATATTTCAGAATGTGAGTAGGCAGCTGCTCTGAATATGTTTCTGAATGTGAGTGGGCAGCTGTTCTGAATATGTTTCTGAATGTGAGTAGGCAGCTGTTTTGAATATATTTCTGAATGTGAGTAGGCAGCTGTTTTGAGTATATTTCTGAATGTGAGTAGGCAGCTGTTCTAAATATATTTCTGAACGTGAGTAGGCAGCTGTTCTGAGTATATTTCTGAATGTGAGTAGGCAGCTGTTCTAAATATATTTCTGAACGTGAGTAGGCAGCTGTTCTGAATAGGTTTCTGAATGTGAGTAGGCGGCTGTTTTGAGTATATTTCTGAATGTGAGTAGGCAGCTGTTCTGAATATATTTCTGAATGTGAGTAGGATGTGGTTCTAAATATATTTCTGATGTCAGACTTCACAATCATGTCAACACCGCCATGAACTTCAACAGTTCTGTCATTGCTTGAAATATCACATAAAAAAGGAACAACTATTATTAACTTTAAATTCAAACAGGCTGATGAAAACAGAAGACAACAAAAATATCCCAAATTTGCTACCTGTTGTTTGTTGTCGGCAAACAGTAAGTGCTTCCCGCCAGCTGTGAACTGACCACTTTCTATCACCTTGTCAGTCAGTTTCAGCTTCTGCTCTGCTCTGGCCAGAACAATCTCCTCCACCGTGTTCCGCCCGACCAGTCTGATCACCTTCACAGGCCTGCAATGTTCAGCATCATTGTACATGGCACAACACCCTTACATGAAGTAACATATCACGATGAATCATAAACTTGTCAGTTTTACACAAATATACAGCATAGCCTTATTGAGATTCACATTAGAGGACATATTTTCCACAGACCTAGGCAGGTTGTCAGAGCACAATGACCAAAAGCAGTTAAAGTCTTTGTTTAATGGAACACATGTCGAAAACTTGCAATAGAAATACACCATGTGCCAGTAGGGCATCATCTGTACAGAGGATTTTGATTGTAAAGATCTTGGAAAAGACATATAGTGATAATAGTGATGATGTTGAAGTCTGACACAACACACCTCGTCTGTCCGATCCTGTGAGCTCTAGCAGCAGCTTGAAGGTCATTTTGAGGGTTGAAGTCACTGTCGACGAAGATGACGGTATCAGCAGCCGTCAGGTTAATCCCCTGACCACCTGAACAACACATTGTGATGAAATAGCTGAGGCTCGCAATACATCACAGTACGCATCATCAGTTCTTACCAACTTAACACATTACAACTCTACAAAATAGAAGAAATGACTAACCTGCTTTTGTGCTGAGAAGAAAGACAAAGGTTTCATCATTCTCATTGAAATTACGGACTGATAGAAACCTTTCTTCCCCTCGGACTGACCCATCGAGACGCTCATACGTAAAATCTGTAACAAATAGGAACACAGAACATCAAAATCTATATCACAAAAATATCTCAATACCAGCAGTCACATTAGGATGATGCTTCAAGCGTCCTGTACTAAGACGTCTTCTGTTATCTTACCTTCATGTAAAATACTTTAATTTCATTGGTCAATGACGCTTTAACAAGTTTGTGTGTCACCCCTCCCAGGAGGGTGACAACTGGAAAAAATATTACCCGCTGCCACGGTAACCGCCAAACTCTCCACCGAGAAGCTGTATCACTAACAATCGTATGACGTCATAATATGATGGATGTGCTGCACAGAGTTCGAAAACTGTTCGATTAGCTGTTTTTTTAGTTTACTATGTACACATTTATTTTACCAGAGACCATATAATTATATGGTCTCTGATTTTATCGACTTTCACTGCTTTATTTAAACTGTTTTATACATTTCATCGTTTGCACACTCAACTTAAACATAATCTACCATTTTATAGCAGTTTTAAGCTCGTCAGACTATGTTTCACTGATAATAAATATCCAGTCGAGAAGCAGACGCCATTTTGTTTACATGTCCTATAGTCGTTAGCAGGCTTATCGATCTTCAAAATAAAATAAAATAATATTTTGTACATTTAACATGGCGGTAAAATGAATACGTTATAAACTTCTCCCTCGTGTAATATGGTCTGGTGTATACATCTTTGGTTCCCTTACTAACCACTCTAAGCACTCCCATTACTGACCTCTGTAGCCACTTCCCTTACTGACCTCTGTAGCCACTTCCCTTACTGACCTCTGTACCAACTTCACTTACTAACCTCTGTACCCACTTCCTTTACTGACATCTGTAACTACTTCCCTTACTGACCTCTGTAACCACTTCCTTTACTGACCTCTGTACCCACTTCCCTTACTGACCTCTGTACCCACTTCCCCTTACTGACCCTCTGTAACCACTTCCTTTACTGACCTCTGTACCTACTGACCTCTTACCCACCCCTGTACCCTGTACCCACCCCTTACTGACCCCTGTAGCCACTTCTCTTACTGACCTCTGTAACCACTTCCCTTACTGACCTCTGTAACCACTTCCCTTACTGACCTCTGTAACCACTTCCCTTACTGACCTCTGTACCCACTTCCCTTACTGACCTCCTGTAACCACTTCACTTACTGACCCCCCTAACCACTTTCCTTACTGACCTCTGTAACCACTTCACTAACTGACCTCTGTAACCACTTCCCTTACTGACCTCTGTAACCACTTCACTTACTGACCTCTGTACCCACTTCCTTTACTGACCACTGTAACCACTTCCCTTACTGACCTCTGTAACCACTTCCCTTACTGACCACTGTAACCACTTCCCTTACTGACCTCTGTACCCACTTCCCTTACTGACTTCTGTAACCACTTCCCTTACTGACCTCTGTAACCACTTCCCTTACTGACTTCTGTAACCACGTCCCTTACTGACCTCTGTAACCACTTCCCTTACTGACCTCTGTAACCACTTCCCTTACTGACCTCTGTAACCACTTCCTTTACTGACCTCTGTAACCACTTCCCTTACTGACCTCTGTAACCACTTCCCTTACTGACCTCTGTACCCACTTCCTTTACTGACCTCTGTACCCACTTCCCTTACTGACCTCTGTACCCACTTCCCTTACTGACCTCTGTACCCACTTCCTTTACTGACCACTGTAACCACTTCCCTTACTGACCTCTGTAACCACTTCCCTTACTGACCTCTGTAACCACTTCCCTTACTGACCTCTGTACCCACTTCCCTTACTGACCTCCATAACCACTTCACTTACTGACCTCCCTAACCACTTCCCTTACTGACCTCTGTAACCACTTCACTAACTGACCTCTGTAACCACTTCCTTTACTGACCTCTGTAACCACTTCCCTTACTGACCTCTGTAACCACTTCCTTTACTGACCTCTGTAACCACTTCCCTTACTGACCTCTGTACCCACTTCCTCTACTGACCACTGTAACCACTTCCTTTACTGACCTCTGTAACCACTTCCCTTACTGGCCTCTGTAACCACTTCCCTTACTGTCCTCTGTAACCACTTCCTTTACTGACCTCTGTAACCACTTCCCTTACTGACCTCTGTAACCACTTCCCTTTACTGACCTCTGTAACCACTTCTGTTACTGACCTCTGTAACCACTTCCCTTACTGACCTCTGTAAACCACTTCCCTTACTGACCTCTGTATCCCAGGTAATCCTGGAGGATGTCCAGCATGTGTGTCATCTGGGAGAACATGAGCACCTTGTGTCCAGCCTGTTTCAGGTGGCACAGCAGCTTGTCTATCAGCACCAGCTTCCCACTGGCCTCCACCAGGTGCTCACCCAGCTCAAATGGCTCTGGCTCCACACCTATGTCACATATACATCCAGTCAATCACAAACATCATACATATGGATCTTCATCTACATAAACCTGGTACATCCGTACAAATTTCCCTTGTGGAACAATAAAGTTTATCTTATCTTACATCAAGCTACAAGTGACTACAACCAAGTATTCAGAAGTATATACACATACTGGATTTGTCACAACACATAAAGTTATATGTTTTATTCTTGAGTCAACAAATTCTATAATACTGATCAAACAATCACCAGCATGATAAATTAGGATCTACATGTACATATAAACCCAAGTATATCACTAACATCATACATAAGGATATACATGTATATAAACCCAGTACATCACTAACATCATACATAAGGATATACATGTATATAAACCCAGTACATCACTAACATCATACATAAGGATATACATGTATATAAACCCAGTACATCACTAACATCATACATAAGGATATACATGTATATAAACCCAGTACATACTAACATCATACATAAGGATATACATGTATATAAACCCAGTACATCACTAACATCATACATAAGGATATACATGTATATAAACCCAGTACATCACTAACATCATACATAAGGATATACATGTATATAAACCCAGTACATCACTAACATCATACATAAGGATATACATGTATATAAACCCAGTACATCACTAACATCATACATAAGGATATACATGTATATAAACCCAGTACATCACTAACATCATACATAAGGATATACATGTATATAAACCCAGTACATCACTAACATCATACATAAGGATATACATGTATATAAACCCAGTACATCACTAACATCATACATAAGGATCTACATGTATATAAACCCAGTACATCACTAACATCATACATAAGGATATACATGTATATAAACCCAGTACATCACTAACATCATACATAAGGATATACATGTATATAAACCCAGTACATCACTAACATCATACATAAGGATATACATGTATATAAACCCAGTACATCACTAACATCATACATAAGGATATACATGTATATAAACCCAGTACATCACTAACATCATACATAAGGATATACATGTATATAAACCCAGTACATCACTAACATCATACATAAGGATATACATGTATATAAACCCAGTACATCACTAACATCATACATAAGGATATACATGTATATAAACCCAGTACATCACTAACATCATAAATTAGGATCTACACGTATATAAACCCAGTACATCACTAACATCATACATAAGGATATACATGTACATGAACCCAGTACATCACTAACATCATACATAAGGATATACATGTACATGAACCCAGTACATCACTAACATCATACATAAGGATATACATGTATATAAACCCAGTACATCACTAACATCATACATAAGGATATACATGTATATAAACCCAGTACATTACTAACATCATACATAAGGATATACATGTACATGAACCCAGTACATCACTAACATCATACATAAGGATATACATGTATATAAACCCAGTACATCACTAACATCACACATAAGGATATACATGTACATGAACCCAGTACATCACTAACATCATACATAAGGATATACATGTACATGAACCCAGTACATCACTAACATCATACATAAGGATATACTTAAGAATTGAATGTCAGTTTGTGTGTTTCCACTGAAAAATGAACGATGTCAAAGCGGTGTTCAAACCGTGTGAACGGATAATGAAGTTCCGCGAGAGTTTGAACACCGCTTGACATCGTTTCATTATTCAGTGCAAACACACAAACTGACATTCAATTCTATATAATTTCATGACTTTGAAGTTTACACACACGCTTTCCACCCTTGTAGATGATCATTGTTTAGTGTGTTTTAAGACCTGTAAAATGTTGTAATGCCATTCGGTTCAAGAACGTCGACCCATTGCACATCATGTTTGTATACACAGCTGAATTTTTTTTTTTACACATGTATCCCAACCCTTGAAGAAATAGTTCTCAAAGTATTCGGATCTTTAAAATATAACAACAAATTATTATGAGGTTTGAAACTGCTTTAATAAGTATAATCAATAACAGTATCAAACAGAAAGCGAATATCAGAAGCAATAACAATACCATTTTAACAAACTGGCATTGTACCTTTTCACTTGTAAATACCTTGTTTGACCGCGTAATAATACACTGACCGACTTATGGCGAATAGGAAACAGATCTTGTTGTATTCTATTTATTTGTGATTGTTTATTGTGAAATTTATTGAGCAGTTGTTAAACAGACCTTGGGGCAGAAAACGCCCGGATGAACCAGCAAACTGCGAGACATTAAACTCCTGTGAAAAGGGACAATGTTCGGCAATCCGTTTGGTAGTGACATTGCCAAACTTGGGGTGACTTGAAACAGGTTCGTTTTATTGGGGGTCCTTGAAACCGAAGCGAAAAACGTTCACACACGTATGAACGGTGTTTACACAAGTATGAACGATTAGAGGGGTTCAAGAGTAATGAACCTTGAAATTTAGATCACATGACCGCTCTCTCAACCAACCAACGTTCGGGAATCTGTGTAAACTTGAAAGCACGAAATTATATGTATATAAACCCAGTACATCACTAACATCATACATAAGGATATACATGTATATAAACCCAGTACATCACTAACATCATAAATTAGGATCTACACGTATATAAACCCAGTACATCACTAACATCATACATAAGGATATACATGTACATGAACCCAGTACATCACTAACATCATACATAAGGATATACATGTATATAAACCCAGTACATCACTAACATCATACATAAGGATATACATGTATATAAACCCAGTACATCACTAACATCATACATAAGGATATACATGTATATAAACCCAGTACATCACTAACATCATACATAAGGATATACATGTATATAAACCCAGTACATCACTAACATCATACATAAGGATATACATGTATATGAACCCAGTACATCACTAACATCATATATCAATATCGCTCTGCTCAAACACTACATCCTGTAACCCACCATCATTCACATATTAATACATATGTTACTAATTTATGCCCTAGTTTCCAAAACAAAAGACCTTTAACTTGTTTGGTAATGTTGAATTAGCAATGTCTGCAGCAGCACAATACTGCCCCCCTTACCATCAAAGAGATAGGGATGGTTGACACACTTCCTCAGCTGCATCAGGATGTTCATGAGGCGGGGCTGGGCAGTCTGCATCCCAGTGTTCTGGAAGGCTTCTGCAATACACAACCAGGTATGTCAGTGCTCCCTACCACTGAAATCAGTCAGATGACACAACTACTTCTTATACCAACACCCACTGTTATCTTCATAGGTACCTGGATCCCTGGTGAGGATGCCCTTGTATAGCTTCTTCTGGAGACTGGACACTCCATGGTACAGAACCACCTCCATCTTGTTGGGCAGGTCTGAGAGAACATTGTTCTTGGTGCGCCGAAGCAGATAGGGTTTAAGCAGCTCATGCAGCTCCTCAAGACCTGCAACAGAATACGTCACTGCTCAAACACACAAAGCATTAGAAGGAATCAAACACCAAAACAGATATTAAAGAAGTATTGTTTTTGAAAAATAAGAAAATTTTGGAATAAGATCTACTGCAAGTGCATTCCTCTCTACCTTCTTCCTTCTCTGTGTTGCTGTATGTTTCCACAAACTTGTCCACTTTAGACAGCCGGAACATCCTGGGAGCAATGAAACTGAGCAGGGCATACAGCTCTCTCAGATTGTTCTGTACGGGAGTTCCGGTGAGCAGCACGCTGCAGGAGATGTCCCACTACAACAACAACTAATAATCAAGTCACAGTTTACCTACATAGATTGACATCTCTCAAACTTTCACTTCATAAGTTTACTATAAAACCGCAATAGCTACACAACTGAAAACACAAGATCCAGTCCCCAAAATCATTATTCAGGACAACAATCGTAACTGTTCAGTCTTCTATATCATTACTCAGGACAACAATCATAACTGTTCGGTCTTCTTTATCGTTACTCAGGACAACAATCATAACTGTTCAGTCTTCTTTATCATTACTAAGGACAACAATCATAACTGTTCAGTCTTCTTTATCATTACTCAGGACAACAATCATAACTGTTCAGTCTTCTTTATCATTACTAAGGACAACAATCATAACTGTTCAGTCTTCTTTATCATTACTAAGGACAACAATCATAACTGTTCAGTCTTCTTTATCATTACTCAGGACAACAATCATAACTGTTCAGTCTTCTTTATCATTACTCAGGACAACAATCATAACTGTTCAGTCTTCTTTATCATTACTAAGGACAACAATCATAACTGTTCAGTCTTCTTTATCATTACTCATAAGGACAACAATCATAACTGTTCAGTCTATCTTTAGGACAACATTACTCAGGTTCACTTCAATCATAACTCAGGACAACAATCATAACTGTTCAGTCTTCTTTATCATTACTCAGGACAACAATCGTAACTGTTCGGTCTTCTTTATCATTACTCAGGACAACAATCATAACTGTTCAGTCTTCTTTATCATTACTCAGGACAACAATCATAACTGTTCGGTCTTCTTTATCATTACTCAGGACAACAATCATAAATGTTCGGTCTTCTTTATCATTACTCAGGACAACAATCGTAACTATTAAGTCAGGTCAAGTCAATCTTAATACAGAAAAACTACCCAAAATTATAGCCTCAAGTATCCTCCTGATGTTTTAGTGTTAGCCGACTACATCAGTGGTCAGTAGGAGAGAGGAGGCAATGAGCATAAGTGTACCTCCTCCAGAGTCTTGTACAGCAGAGAATCCTGGTTCTTGAGTCGATGAGCCTCATCCACCACCAATACGCTCCAGGGGATGGTCTTCAGAAACAGATGGTCCTTCATACAGAGCTGCAACACAGATACAGACATACACTGCAGCACAGATACACACATATACTGCAGCACAGATACACACATACACTACAGCACAGATACACACATACACTACAGCACAGATACACACATACACTACAGCACAGATACACACATACACTACAGCACAGATACACACATACACTACAGCACAGATACACACATACACTACAGCACAGATACACATACATACACACAGCACAGATACACACATACATACATACTGCAGCACAGATACACACATACACTACAGCACAGATACACACATACACTACAGCACAGATACACACATACACTACAGCACAGATACACACATACACTGCAGCACAGATACACACATACACTACAGCACAGATACACACATACACTACAGCACAGATACACACATACACTACAGCACAGATACACACATACACTACAGCACAGATACACACATACAGCTGATACACACAGCACAGATACACACATACACTACAGCACAGATACACACATACACTACAGCACAGATACACACATACACTACAGCACAGATACACACATACACTACAGCACAGATACACAGATAATACATACACTGCAGCACAGATACACACATACACTGCAGCACAGATACACACACTGCAGCACAGATACACTACAGCACAGATACACACATACACTACAGCACAGATACACACATACACTACAGATACAGACATACACACAGATACAGACATACACTACACAGCACATAGATACACACATACACTACACAGCACAGATACACACATACACTACAGCACAGATACACACATACACTACAGCACAGATACAGACATACACTACAGCACAGATACACACATACACTACAGCACAGATACACACATACACTACAGCACAGCACAGATACACACATACACTACAGCACAGATACACACATACACTACAGCACAGATACACACATACACTGCAGCACAGATACACACATACACTACAGCACAGATACAGACAGATACACTACACTACAGCACAGATACACACATACACTACAGCACAGATACATACACTACAGCACAGATATACACACATACACTACAGCACAGATACACACATACACTACAGCACAGATACACACATACACTGCAGCACAGATACACACATACACACACAGATACACACATACACTGCAGCACAGATACACACATACACTGGCAGCACAGATACACACATACACTACAGCACAGATACATACACACAGCACAGATACACACATACACTTACAGCACAGATACACACATACACTGCAGCACAGATACACACATACACTACAGCACAGATACAGACATACACTACAGCACAGATACTACATACACTACAGCACAGATATAATACACATACACTACAGCACAGATACACACATACACTACAGCACAGATACAGACATACACTGCAGCACAGATACAGACATACACTACAGCACAGATACAGACATACACTACAGCACAGATACAGACATACACTGCAGCACAGATACACACATACACTACAGCACAGATACACACATACACTACAGCACAGATACACACATACACTACAGCACAGATACACACATACACTACAGCACAGATACACACATACACTACAGCACAGATACACACATACACAGATAATAATACATACACAGCACAGATATACATACACTGCAGCACAGATACACACATACACTACAGCACAGATACACACATACACTGCAGCACAGATACACACATACACTACAGCACAGATACAGACATAATACACTAGCAGCACAGATACACACATACACTACAGCACAGATACACACATACACTGGCAGCACAGATAACTACAGCACAGATACACACATACACTACAGCACAGATACACACATACACTACAGCACAGATACACATACACTACAGCACAGATACACACATACACTAGCACAGATACACACATACACTGCAGCACAGATACACACATACACTACAGCACAGATACACATACACTACAGCACAGATACACACATACACTACAGCACAGATACACACATACACTACAGCACAGATACACACATACACTACAGCACAGATACACACATACACTACAGCACAGATACACACATACACTACAGCACAGATACACACATACACTACAGCACAGATACACACATACACTACAGCACAGATACACACATACACTGCAGCACAGATACACACATACACTACAGCACAGATACACACATACACTACAGCACAGATACACACATACACTACAGCACAGATACACACATACACTACAGCACAGATACACACATACACTACAGCACAGATACACACATACACTACAGCACAGATACACACATACACTACAGCACAGATACACACATACACTACAGCACAGATACACACATACACTACAGCACAGATACACACATACACTGCAGCACAGATACACACATACACTGCAGCACAGATACACACATACACTACAGCACAGATACACACATACACTGCAGCACAGATACACACATACACTACAGCACAGATACACACATACACTACAGCACAGATACAGACATACACTGCAGCACAGATACAGACATACACTACAGCACAGATACACACATACACTACAGCACAGATACACACATACACTACAGCACAGATACACACATACACTACAGCACAGATACAGACATACATACACTACAGCACAGATACAGACACTACAGCACAGATACACACATACACTGCACAGATACACACATACACTGCAGCACAGATACACACATACACTACAGCACAGATACACACATACACTGCAGCACAGATATGGACATACACTGCAGCACAGATGAACATACACTACAGCACAGATACACACACATACACTACAGCACAGATACACACATACACTGCAGCACAGATACAGACATACACTACAGCACAGATACACACATACACTGCAGCACAGATATGGATACACTGCAGCACAGATACAACATACACTGCAGCACAGATACACACATACACTACAGCACAGATACACACATACACTACAGCACATGAGACACACATACACTGCTGCTATATGGACACACTACACTAGTAGCAGTGAACTATATGCAGCTATATGGGTACACTACAGCACACTACAACACTGCTGCTATATGGAGACACTGCAGTAGTGAACATATGAGACACTCACAACACTGCAGCTATATGGAGACACAGTAGTGAACTATATGAGATACACAACACTGCTGCATATGGATACACACTATATGGAGACACTACACACTGCTGCTATATGGAGACACTGCAGTAGTGAACTATATGAGACACTACAACACTGCTGCTATATGGAGACACTACAATAGTGAACTATATGAGACACTACAACACTGCTGCTATGGAGACACTACAATGAGTGACACTACAACACTGCAACACTGCTATATATGGAGACACTACAGTAGTGAACTATATGAGACACTACAACACTGCTGCTATATGGAGACACTGCAATAGTGAACTATATGAGACACTACAACACTGCTTATATATGGAGACACTGCAATAGTGAACTATATGAGACACTACAACACTGCTGCTATATGGAGACACTGCAATAGTGAACTATATGAGACACTACAACACCGCTGCTATATGGAGACACTACAATAGTGAACTATATGAGACACTACAACACTGCTGCTATATGGAGACAATACAGTAGTGAACTATATGAGACACTACAACACTGCTGCTATATGGAGACACTGCAGTAGTGAACTATATGAGACATTACAACACTGCTGCTATATGGAGACACTACAGTAGTGAACTATATGAGACACTACAACACTGCTGCTATATGTAGACACTACAACACTGCTGCTATATGGAGACACTACAACACTGCTGCTATATGGAGACACTACAACACTGCTGCTATATGGAGACACTACAACACTGCTGCTATATGAGACACTACAACCATGTTGATATATGGAAACACTACAACTGTATTTATACATGGACATGATGCAACAGTGTTGCCACATGGAGACACTACAACAGCTGTTAAATGGAGACACTACAACAACTGTTACATGGAGACACTACAAGTTATAACCATCACTGCCACAAGGTTAGAATATTGACCTTCAGTAACCCATGTTTGTCGTAAGAGGCGACTAACGGGATCGGGTGGTCAGGCTCGCTGACTTGGTTGACACATGTCATCAGTTCCCAATTAAGCAGATCGATGCTCATGCTGTTGATCACTGGATTGTCTGGTCCAGACTCGATTGTTTACAGACCGCCGCTATATAGCTGGAATATTGCTGAGAGCAGCGTAAAACTAAACTCACTCACTCACTCCACAAAGGAATGCCATAACTTAGCACATGCTGGGGACATTCCTGCCAAACCAGTGATAGTAATGCAACACTACACTAATGGCCATGTAGAAATATTACCTCATACGCTGTTATAAGAGCATCAAATTCATACGTCCCTTTTTCTTTTTTGGTAGCCTTTATCTTCTTTGACAGGTCATTTCGGACATCTTTGTCGCCAACAAAACACAGAGTTTTGGTTTGGGGTGAAAATCTGAAAGATATAAAAAACAAACACCCTTTCACATAAAACATCAAAGATCCATAGACACAACACATTCACAATATATTCATTGACCTGCATAACGTTCTTTAAACATTGTCGTCTGATTGCCTATGTGTGGGTTTGAAATCAAGGCCATACCTATGAATGTGGGAGTTGGGGTGAACTTTTGCTGGGTTGTTATGACTAGGGGAAGATGAAGCCTGTGTTGTTTTAAAGGAAGATGGTGACTATGTGATGTTGTGAGTAGAGGAAGGTGATGACTGTGTTGTTGTGAGTAGAGAAAAGTGATGACTGTGATGTTGTGAGTAGAGGAAGGTGATGACTGTGTTGTGAGTAGAAGAAGGTGATTGATGTTGTGAGTAGAGGAAGGTGATGACTGTGTTGTGAGTATAGGAAGGTGATGACTGTTGTGAGTATAGGAAGGTGATGACTGTTGTGAGTATAGGAAGGTGATGACTGTGATGTTGTGAGTAGAGGAAGGTGATGACTGTGATGTTGTGAGTAGAGGAAGGTGATGACTGTGTTGTGAGTAGAGGAAGGTGATTACTGTTGTGAGTATAGGAAGGTGATGACTGTTGTGAGTATAGGAAGGTGATGACTGTTGTGAGTATAGGAAGGTGATGACTGTTGTGAGTATAGGAAGGTGATGACTGATGTGAGCATAGGAAGGTGTTGACTGTTGTGAGTATAGGAAGGTGATGACTCTTGTGAGTAGAGGAAGGTGATGACTGTGAGCACAGGAAGGCATGAGGCATAAGGTGATGACTGATGTGAGTATAGGTATAAGGTGATGACTGTTGTGAGTATAGGAAGGTGATGACTGATAGGAAAGACCTGTTGTGTGACATTGAGTATAGGAAGGTGTTGACTGTTGTGAGTATAGGAAGGTGATGACTGTTGAGTAGGAAGTATGAGGAAGGTGATGACTGTTGTGAGTATAGGAATGTGAGTATGATGACTGAGTGTGAGTAGAGCAAGGTGATGACTGATGTGAGTACAGGAAGGTGATGACTGTGTTGTGAGTATAAGAAGGTGATGACTGATGTGAGTATAGGAAGGTGTTGACTGTTGTGAGTATAGGAAGGTGATGACTGATGTGAGTATAGGAAGGTGATGACTGTTGTGAGCATAGGAAGGTGATGACTGATGTGAGCATAGGAAGGTGTTGACTGTTGTGAGTATAGGAAGGTGATGACTGCTTGTGAGTAGAGCAAGGGGATGACTGATGTGAGTATAGGAAGGTGTTGACTGTTGTGAGTATAGGAAGGTGATGACTGTTGTGAGTATAGGAAGGTGATGACTGTTGTGAGTATAGGAAGGTGATGACTGATGTGAGTAGAGCAAGGTGATGACTGATGTGAGTACAGGAAGGTGATGACTGTGTTGTGAGTATAAGAAGGTGATGACTGATGTGAGTATAGGAAGGTGTTGACTGTTGTGAGTATAGGAAGGTGATGACTGATGTGAGTATAGGAAGGTGATGACTGTTGTGAGTATAGGAAGGTGATGACTGTTGTGAGTATAGGAAGGTGTTGACTGTTGTGAGTATAGGAAGGTGATGACTGATGTGAGCATAGGAAGGTGTTGACTGTTGTGAGTATAGGAAGGTGATGACTGATGTGAGTATAGGAAGGTGATGACTGTTGTGAGTAGAGCAAGGGGATGACTGATGTGAGTATAGGAAGGTGTTGACTGTTGTGAGTATAGGAAGGTGATGACTGATGTGAGTATAGGAAGGTGATGACTGTTGTGAGTACAGGAAGGTGATGACTGTGTTGTGAGTATAAGAAGGTGATGACTGATGTGAGTATAGGAAGGTGTTGACTGTTGTGAGTATAGGAAGGTGATGGCTGATGTGAGTATAGGAGGTGATGACTGTTGTGAGTATAGGAAGGTGACGACTGATCTGAGTATAGGAAGGTGATGACTGATGTGAGTATAGGAAGGTGTTGACTGTTGTGAGTATAGGAAGGTGATGACTGATGTGAGTATAGGAAGGTGATGACTGATGTGAGTATAGGAAGGTGATGACTGATGTGAGTATAGGAAGGTGATGACTGATGTGAGTATAGGAAGGTGTTGACTGATGTGAGTATAGGAAGGTGATGACTGATGTGAGTATAGGAAGGTGATGACTGATGTGACTATAGGAAGGTGATGACTGATGTGAGTATAGAAAGGTGATGACTGATGTGAGTATAGGAAGGTGATGACTGATGTGAGTATAGGAAGGTGACTACCTGCTGAACTCCATGTCCCAGTTCTCCAAGACCGAGCGAGGACACACCACCAGGTGGGGGCGGTGGGGGCCAGATTGGCTGCCATTCAGATATGTCAGCAGTGCAATAGTCTGAAACATACATCAACATAAATACCACTCATCCATACCAACATCACTGATCACAAATAACATTACTACTCATCACATAACAACATCACTCATCACCTCAAAACAGCACTCATCATGTATCAATATCACAATTTCACCTGCCAACATCACATCACGTGGAAACATCACTCAAGACAAGCCAATATCACTCATTACATGGTATACATCAGAAGATTTAGAAAGTCGTCAGCTCAATCATATGGTACGAGATATCTAATGGACATAGCATACATCACTTACAATATTTGCTTCATGGTGTTTTCCATTTGTTCAGCAGTTACATTGGAAAGAAAGATAGAACTAACTATGACATATCTGCATGAGAAAACATGAACATTAACTTTACCTGACACGTCTTTCCGAGGCCCATTTCATCACCAAGGATACAGCCATGACCTTGCTGGCAGCAGTTAATCAGCCAGTTCACTCCCTCAAGCTGGTATGGACGCAATGGGAGGTCTGTACACAAACAATAACACTGACAAATAATAGATGATTGAATGTATTACATTATTCTTAGTAGCAAAAAGAAAGCAGCTTTTAAAGACAAAAATGTTATTTAGTTACAGAAAATATCAAATCAACAACCAAGATGTCTGTGTGAGTTTTCAGCCAGTCCAAGCAGTATCGGAGTGGCCATACTAACCAATATCAATGCAGGCTACAACTAGTATGACTACATCGGGCCTTGGCGACCATTAATTTGACTACAGTACAGAATGGCTACAAAATCAACGATCAAATGTTTCTGAACATATTTATTTATAGCAGCATAGCACATATATATAGTGCAACTGCACTGACAATCAAACAGGCTACCAAGTTGAGTGTTTGTACTGCCTGTAACCTATAGTTTTCAAAGATACACTAGCATGTGTCAAGAATAATTAGCCAGGTTCATTCTGACACAACATCGACTCATGCGCAGTGGGCGAGCTGGCTAAGGTGCCAGGCTAATGATCCAGCGAGGTTGAGGTGCCGGGATCGAGCCCACCTGTGACCAGGTGTAAAAGAGCTGAGGAAGATGTATCATCTTGAATTTTGCGAATTCTGCGAAGGTACTCCTGGTTAAACTTCCTCATGTTGTAGATGAGCCAAAACTTCTCCTTGGAAATCTTCTTTGGAACCAGGAAAATTGGGGAGTAAAAACCGGGCATGATGAGATCTTGATTTATCTTTTCTACTGCATCTTTGTCGAGTAGAGTCTTGATTGCGTCGTCCAGTTTCTCTGTCTGGTCGGCTGCGTAGTTGAAGGCCAGCGGGCTGCTTGTAAGTGGCGGGGGTGGCTTCCAACTGTATCTTGTACCCTCTGCGTAGTATCTGGGATACATAGTCGTCCTGTAATATTCCCCAATTCTCCCAGTACCGTTGAAGACGTCCACCCACTGTCGAAGGTTGTACAGGAACAGCTGGGGGGTGGAAGACTCCAGTCGTTCCAAACCTGTCCTTTGGCGCTTGGTTCCCCTGGCACCCCTGGGTGCTCAGCCTCTTCCGGGGTTACTTCTGGGGGCTCCAGTTGGGCAACGAAAAGAACCTTTTCCTTCTCTTGAGCTGGAATACTTCTTTTCTCTGGCTCTCTGGACTCCTGCAAACTTGGATTTGTTGGAGTAGCGCTGGGACGTCTGGCGAATCACATTTGCCAAGGTATCTATGGACTTTATCATCATGACCTCCCTTGATTCGTGTGTAACCTCTTTGGCGACTTCTTCAATTCCTCCTCCGAAGATGGATGATGCTGACCATGGGGCTCTGTATAAGGTCTTGGTGAACTGCTCACTCCAGGTGCACGATGACAATAATCCTTGTCTCCTCAGGAGAGTCAGGCCCGCTGATGTGGATGCTAGATGCTCCGACATACACTGGTGGTCCTTTTTCTGAGTTATTAGAGCAGAATATATCATCTGGTGGTCTTCGGTGGTGTTGTTCTTGAACTTCCGAGATGTGCTTCGTTGATAGCCCTAGACCTGGCTGGTCCGAAGAAGGTACATCTAGTAGTCGTATCCAGTTGCACTAGCTTCTTGTCCTCTATATTGTAAGTTCTTTAGCGGGAGTCGATGATGATCTTGTAGTCATCATCAATCTCTGGTGCCTTCAGGAAGGGTTCCATGTGATGTAGGGGGAATTTCCTGGCGCTGAACGTCGGAATATGCTGATTCTGGAACTTCGTAGCCTTATCAATGGCTGAGCTGAGACTGTCCGGTACTTGGGAGATCGAGTCGATAGGCGGAAAGGTGAGTGTGTCGAAATCATCTTTGGACATCTTGTATGTAAACGCTTCGTCTATGTCCTTGGAAGGAGATGCTAGGTCCAGGCCATTAGCAATCCATGAGGTTACTTCCGTATCGGAGAATATGACTTCACCTTCTTCCTCTGATTTAGACATCTCCCGCTCTGACGATCCAAGACGAGATTCTCTGTGTGAAGATCTGTATGACGAACTGTGCGCAGGTGAACAATCCCGATGTGATCGTGCATCCTTCCTGGAGTCTTGAGACCTCTCTAGGCCTTTGTGAAGGTTGATTCTTAGGTGTAGTCTCCCCTCTGTAAGATGTGGAGTGCCTGCGTGCAGGTTCCCGATGTGCTTCTGAGTCCGATGGTGAAGACGACCTGAAGGATCTCGTCTTCTGCGTAGAGCTGTGTAGAGACTTCGATGAATGAAGTCTTAGGTGTAGTAGCCTTCCTCTTCTGTGTTGAAGACGATCTAGTCTTCTTTGTCTGCGAAGAGGTCAGCTCCGTTGACAACGATCTCTTATTGGCTCCAGAGTTCATCACTGGAACAGCGACCTGCCCCCGTAAAACGCTCGGCAATTCACTGGAATTATGAATATCGGCAGCAGTAGTTAACACACGGTTGTCAGTGCAATCACTTGATTTAGACATGACTTGTGAATACCTTCTTACCCAGTCCTTTGAACGTCTTTGAATGGAAAAAGGGTAGTTATTAAATTCAAAAGTGGTTAAATTCAGACAATGTTCACAGCGAAAGCTGAAAGAACATGAAGTAGTGCAATCAGGACATAATAAATGTGGGTCAACCGCAGACAGTCGGTACCTACAACGAACACAAGTTTTCATCAAATGTAAACACGATGAAAAAACACGTCAAACAACGTATAATTTAGATCAATTTTCAAACCATATAGTAGAATACAATCCTAAAAGCTGTATACAGCAATAATTTTGATGTAAAGGTCCAAAACAGAAAGGATATGTGCCGTATAGGGACCCAGGTGCTCTCACAACTGTCCTCAAGGGCAAAGAAGGAGAGAGTGACAAAACATGGCTGGTCATGTGACCAAAAGGGCGCCAAGGAGGCAAGGGATGCCACTTGTGGGTGAGTGATTATTTTACACCCGCTTTTTAGAAGGGAACTTCACAGGGATTTCAAGTTTCCCACTATCATTCGCAAGGAGAAGGAGACAAGCATTTAACATGAGTCAGGATAAGGAAAAATATCAGGGCATAGGGACACCAGAAATGGGCTTCACACATTGTACTCATGTGGGGAATTGAACCTGGGTCTTTGGTGTGATGGATTCATCAGTAGTGACAGCACACAGCTTAACTAGACTATGGAAAATGACTCAATAAAGTTCACCCCTGCCTCTAGTCTGAGGGTTTGCAATTGACATATCTCATGTGTGGCATAATTATTCAATCTAAAATTGGGTTATGAAAAGGTGTAATGTGGAGAATGTATCGCATGGTATGTATTATGCACATGACAAGAGGAATGGTGAAATGAGTTGCACAAAGCTTCAAAGCACTAACCAGTAATACAGTGATTGACACTCTTGTGTTCATCTAAGTTGGCTTACTAAGCAGACAAAAGCAACATACTCTATTGAAATGATCAGCAATAATGTGTTGTTCGATTGGACATTGTTGCCTAACTAAACTGAATTTTTCCAAGGAGCATGGCTATTTGTAACATAGATGTCACTGTTTCAGCTGACATTCATGGCATGAGGTTTGGTGAAGAAACAGGGAATGGAATTTGGAGATATTTATTGTGAGATAAGTGGAACATACTCAGTGAACATGCCAGTCTTCAACTGAATATGCTGAAAACAGTTTATAAACAGCTATTCCCACTATAGGGCAGGCAAGCTAATGGATGTACCGGTAGCTGTCATCTTCTTTCCTCAGCCACTGCTGAGGAAGAGAAGACAGGCCTTGACAAGAGAACTGTTTATTCTAACACAGTAATCTAATGACTCGTGATATGTATGATATTCTACATGTTCTAATGAGGTACCAAAACTGGAAAAGTCAAAAGGGCCAAGGGAAAGTCAAAAGGGCCAAGGGAGAGTCAAAAGGGCCACAGATTAAAGTCAAAAGGGCCAAACTTTTAGCAAATAGTAAGATTAGAAGAAATTCATTACATGTTGTTGCAGTAGTTCTAATCCTAAACATCTCAGAGTGTCTCAGTGTTGTTTATTTAAAGGAGAATACGAGTGAATTGCAATAATTTGCTGGGTTAAAGATAAAGTCATCAGAAACATATTCCCAAATTTTCAATTAAAAATTATGTATAATTATGTTTTAATCGCGAAAACAGTTTCTGTAAATCTCAGCTTCGGCATTATGCATATTTCGCTGGAACCCACGTGACCTTTCCGCTCGTGACGTCAAATGTGCCTGGAGTCCGCCATATTGTCAAAGACCAAGCGCTACAGTAGTACAATTTGTGTTGTTTCTGTCGGTTTTTTAAATGGTACAATGGTGTATTGCGTTGCCTGGGGATACACGGAATCATCGAACATGGGAAAGAACCACCATTTCTTCCGTTTTCCAAGTGAAATGACAGATTTCGGCAGGAGAAATGCGCCGATCATTCAGAGTCTGACGCATATGAAAGAGACATGCACGCATGGGGTATGGAAATCCCCAAGCTAGGCTGAAGAAGGAAAAAGTACCCACGAGATTCATTTATACTCCATAATTCCCTGTAACAACTTACTGTCAGTGGTATTTTGAACATAAATTAAATCAAGTCCCATTGCCAGTCGAATTGCCCCCGCTACAAAATGCCCCAGCAAAGGTCAAATTGCCCCAGTGGGGTAGTCAAAATGCCCCAATTTATTTAAAATGAATAAATATAGGCCATAAATGCACAGTTTTGTCAACTTTGATATTATGTTCTTCATATATAAGTGTATACATAGTTATGAGTTTACTAATGAAACATTTATCAGAAATAACTGATATTCCTAATAACTTTTATATGAAGAACATAATATCATAATAAGTTGACAAAAACTATGCATTTACGGCATATATTCAATCATTATAAATAAATTTGAACAAATTAGAATGAAAGACCAAATTTGCTGGGGCATTTTGTAGCTAAGGCAGTTCGACTGGTTCGACTGGTATATATTATCAAAATCAGTAAGAGATTTCACATGAGCTTGAAAATGTTTCGCTATAACGTTCTTTTCGGTTTGGAGCCCTAAATGATGCAGTCAACTCGAAACATTGCCGAATACAACGGCAAATCACGAAGTACTTGTTGCTTTCATTGTTTTCCATTTTGTCCAATTACGCAAGTCGTCAGCAGACTCGCTATTTGTCAGTAGTGTGTGCCGTGAAAGTTGTTCTGTATTCTCATTGGCTGACAGGATGTCATTCTAAGGCTTTGACCGAGTACCATAACTATTTCCATAACCAAACAAAGGGGAAACATACATGGTCCTGACTAGTATTTTATAATTCACCAGTTTTCGGGGAATAACTTATCTGCGTCACGAATATTATCTCTGATCGACCAGGCTGGGATCTTGTATCGAGACTTGATACATTATTAATGAGAACTAGGATCCTAATTTTTTTTCAACAAAATAATTCCAGTGTAATTTTTGAAGCAGATAATATTTATTTTCCCTCGTCTGAAGCATAATTATTTTGTTTTTAATTCCCAGACACCTTACAGTCACCCATATGACACAAAATGAACTGTAATCACATTTTTTTTTTTTAAATTCTTAGTGACTGGTCATATGTTTATAGGGGTGAGTTTGCTGGCTGGAACTGTATGACATTTTGCTGACAAATAGTAATCTTGTTAAATGATATGGTCTATTTTTAAATTTATTTTGACCTCAAGCGGTGCCTCCGCTTCGCTTGATTCTTCTTCATATTCAGTGGAAGATTGTCTTGCAAGATGTAAAATCGGATCGTATTGATATGGTCAAACATCCATTTCAGAAATGACATCAGGAACATCTTTTACTGCTTCAGCATCCACGGACACTTTTAAGTTGTGAGGTAAAATCAAAGAGGAAGCCATCAGCAACAGGCACTAATGGCATCAGGTCACGTGATACCCCCTCTGCTCATTAACTGTCGGGTGTTTCCGTAATAGGCAGAAATACGAGTACGTTTTTGTGTTTTATTGCTATTTTACAAACTTTTCGTTCAATTTTAATCACGGAATCAAAAGTTTTGTTTTCGTTCATATTCTCCTTTAAATCATCTCAGTGTGGTTAAGCATTTATTTTATGAGTATAGTCAGGTGTCAGCTCAGGAAGCCGACCTTTGGATTTTTTATAAGGCTCAGGAGGTCGACAAGCGGTACGCTCTGAAGTTTGGGTGTTATTTTAGCACATGGCTAATCTCATGTGACGTGTTATTACAAGGCTGGTGGTTGATGAAACATGATCAAAACAATCATAATGATGAACACATTTAACTACATGGAGATATATAATGAGAAGAAGCATGAAAGTGTACATTCGATTTCGAAATGGCTAATGTTCAACAATGCTTATCAATAAGGATGTGTACAACAATTAGTTTTCAGCACTGGAACATAGTGCTGGCACAACTGATCGAATAATCGGTCAATCGCTTGCGTCTGGAGACAAATCGAGATTCATTAAAAATACGGTTATGTTTGTTAAATCAAGACAAAAACAACTGAAGCAGTTTCCGGACACGTAAAACTACAATGTAAACATGGTAAACAACATATTCACATGCGTGTTTCAACAGGATTACACCTGTTTCGTTTGAACAATATGCTGTTAGTGCCCATATTAGTTTTGTAGTGGGATTATGATTACAATCGATCTGCATCGATAATTATCGATAACCTCAGTGTATCAAATAGTTTTGAAAAGTGGCCTGTCCAAGGACTGGCTGTCCAAATAGTTACCTGTCCTGAAAAAGCATAGCCAGTCCCCAAAACTAAAACTCTTCATTCAAACCAAGTTAAGTTTAATCTTTCAAATATTTCCCTGACCAAAGGACGGCCTTACTTATTTAAGAGACCGTGCTTCAGAAAAACAGACTGTCAAGGACGGTGGGCTATATTTTATTCACTGATAACCAACACTAACTGTACCTTAGCCGAGAGCCGCGATGCGGTCTGATGGCTAATGAACCCCGGTTCAGTGCACCAGCCTATACTTCCTGTGGTATTAATAACAGACTGTCATACTGACCACCCCATCCTAGTTCCTGAAGTGCTTCTACCGAATCTATTGCGTCAGGTATATCCATTAAGGACATTTCTTTCAGGCAGTTTTCATTAGTTGTCAATTACAACAAACTCAGCGGAATCGTTTGCGAACTCCATGCATCATGTTTACTGTTAAACAGTTACAGTGCGATTACATTCGTCGCTGCATGGGTCTTGTGTTTCCACACAGCTCCTCGCCGCGATAGCACGTTCGCCCTCTTATCTATAATATGAAAGTGTCACGCACTGGGTACGAGCTTGTACATGTTGTAAGGGAAGATAACTTTGACTTATTATCGACCGACAGATGGCATAAATGTTGGCCGTCCAAGATGTCTGCCAAAAGAAAATATCAATATTTTGAACGAAGTTAACCGGTTATTATTGTCGAAATGGACTTAAAGCAAAGACTAAAGTCTCTGATAGGGAGACAGGTAATTATCACACGTTATGCGCCATAGTGTATCATAGATTCATGTATTCCCTTTCCCTGCAAACGCATCACAACAACATTGTCAATTTCTGTCAAACGGATGAGCCGAAAGTCAACTCTGGAAATTATGATTAATCATCAGGTACCGTTAATGAAAAATGAACCGGGGTGTTAGCGTTTAACGCCTTTGTCATAATTGTCATATATGACATATATCAAGGTCTGCAGGTAATCGATTTTAGATAAGTAATGTAATGAGTCATTCTCTCTCTCTCTCTCTCTCTCTCTCTCTCTCTCTCTCTCTCTCTCTCTCTCTCTCTCTCTCTCTCTCTCTCTCTCTCTCTCTCTCTCTCTCTCTCTCTCTCTCTCTCTCTCTCTCTCTCTCTCTCTCTCTCTCTGTGGAGTGACAAGTCCATGTTATTAGTATAACACTACTGTTGCTAAGTTAGAATAAGATATGTGGAAGAACAACTTCTATAGTCCGATCATGAGCATCGTTTTGGTGTACTTTCTATTCAGTGGTTAGCATTACATTTTGTTTGCTATTGAATATGGTGTTTCTTGTGTTTGTCATCATGATTTACCCAGGGGAACAGTGAAATATTTTACTTTATGTTTAGTTTGTATTACTTGATTACTCTTTGGCAGTATATATGTTAACACGTTGACTGCCTATCACGAGTATACTCGTAGTATCAATTCTGGCCGAATTTGCCACTACGAGTTATCTCGTAGCTACATCAGTGGTAGTTTAAACACACGTCTCCTGGCATTGTTTGTTAACGCCAGGAGACCATTGCTTCTTGTACCTGTTTTGGCAACATGTGAAACTTGTTTTAAAATACCACTGATGTAGCTACGAGATAACTCGTACTCGGGTCGTAGTGACAAATTAGACCAGACATTGATACTACGAGTATACTCGTGGTGGCAGTCAACATGTTAACTAAATAATGAAGATAAATGAAGTGAGATGTTAGAATGTTTAGCATCAACCATATTAACAAGGTGTAGTAAACATGTCATGGGTACACCTGACAAGAAAATCTATAATGTTAAGTGACATATTTGTAATTTCCAGGAGATTGTTACTTCTCCAACAGAAGAGAACATCAGCTCAGAATCATTCAAGCAAGAACCTGCTGTTGCAAAGTTTAAGGTAATCAAAAATTGTTTGAATTTTTACTTTTTACTCTGCTATTAGTTTTCATATGAAAAAAATAAATAAATTATTGTTTGACATGGACAACATGAACATTAACAATTAAATTTGAAAGTAGTAGAAGGGTTAAATTATCTTGCAAACAAAATCCTAGGCCTCTCTTGTCCATTCGCCCGTGCACTTCATGCTGCTCCCCTTATTGGACAGCCTCTGTATCTCTTGAGAAGCATGCAGCATGCTCAACTACCTGCTCACGTGACCACCTATTCCTGATCATTCTCTTTTTTGTCGCACAGCTGTGCAGATGACCTGTAAACAGTAGGGATTTTTCTTCACATCTTTTTGTCACTATGGGAAACAGATTCCTCATCTAAGGAAAAAAGTTTTGCAATCAATGTAAGAAGATATTATCTGCATCGTGGATCCGTTCCACGGACCTTGCCTACCAACTCTACTAGTACTAGTTCACCGAATCAGCTCAACGCGGAGAATGACCCTTTGACGTCTTGTGCTACTTCCAATTTTGCGCATCAACCTTGCTCTCTGGACCGCTCCTATTTGGCGGAGCGGCCCTATTCACCTGATCGTCCCCAGTCTTCTGACCAAACCCCATCGCAAGACACTTCACCGAAGCAATTTTTACTTTGATATGATAGTTCGTGCCATTTTGGCAGCCTTGAACCAGATGCAACAACCTTTCGCCGAACTACTCCTCAGCATCCTCTGGTTCAGCGAATCTGTTAGGTTCGTTGAACCCTACCCCACTTATGCAGACGTTTGGACAGCAGTTTTCTACCTGGCCTTTTGGTGCTTGTGCCTGGGGTGCCTCCCAAGACACTCGATTTTATGGTTCAAGCTATGCCAGCCACCTTTGAGGATGCAGAAATTAGGTCAAGCAATAGTAGATTTGACACACGTTTGCTTGTTTTGCCGATCACCTGCGGCTATCTAAGAGCAAGATACTTACTGCGTTCTACATGAAGGATCGGGACTTGTCGACTCTGATTTTACCTCCTCCTGCCTGTTTTACCTATTTGGCGGGTTACTTAGATAAGGCGTTTAAGTATCTCAAGAGAGTATGAGATGGCATCTCTTCACCAAAGTTTATCATCACTACTGCACACGCCTATAGATTTGAAACTTGGCGGCCCCTCTACCATAGATGATGAGCATGAACTTGCATCTAAATATGGTCATTCGATGAACCCTACCAGGTATCTACGATTATATTTAAAGGCATTTGTAATGCGCTGAATTCAACATCTTGGAGTGGCATGCTCAAACACTACAATCTGATTATTTTTACTCCAGATAACCCAGGCTGCCTGTGAGGCACTAGAAGATTATTAGTCACATGACTTATTCCATCGGGTACCTATTTCTGTTGGGTGAACAGAGGCAATAGCTATGTCAGTAGCGCAGGCATTTAAGGTTACGCCCGGCACAAGGCCCCCTGATGGACCCGGATCTTTGAAACGCCTTCGTGGCTGGGGCTTGTATGTTCCAGATCTAGACAACTAAGACAACCATCCTCACCTTTGACGAACGATTCAGTTCAACGAACCTACCTTTCGTTGCAGATATCAGCTCTACAACCACCTTTTGTGCATTACTAGATAAGCTTACAATCCAGGAATATTTTACGGACGCTTCACTGAGTCCTGACAACTGGTAACATTGCTCTGGTGTATCGCTGGGTGCAATCATGGCTTGGTTCGTCATCTTCACCATTGTATTTTAAACATCATCACCAAGTTACTGGACAGGTGGGTCAAGATTCATCTCATGGTACCAGTAGTGATGTTTTGTCAAGTAGTTAGCATCCCTTGCCCTGATTTTAATGTCATGAGACTCGCCCAGATAACTGATGACTGTGTTGTCTGGATTTTTTATCACTGTTGCATCGTGGGTATTAGCATGCAAATGGTGGACTATTATTTGTTTACCTGGGAATTTGATGATCTGAGTGATTAGGAAGGGCCTTGACAGATATTTCTTGGTCTCTCTGGGGCGGAAAACAATCCCAGCCTTTAATTGCCAGTGACGATGAATGGTCCCATTGCTGGTAAGAGTGACTGTGTTGGGACTTGTCAGCCAGCTGAGTGAGACAGCTTACCGAGGGTGTTAGACGAAAACGCCCAAGAACGCTTCAACTATGGTTAGGGTTACTCGGTTTTCTAACATCAGCCTTAGCCCTCAGTTCAGTGGTCACTACAACTGCGTCCTATCCAAGATTTCTACGTCTGCTTTTGAGGTTCGCGGATCCCTATATGCCGATGCTACTACCATCGTCACTCTAACGAACGTTGCTGGGATCACCAGTCTTGTTACCTTCGTCATTCCATCTACTTTGCGAACGTTCCTGTAGACTGACAATCCCCATGCATCGATTCTACTACCATTGTTACTCCATTCGCAAACAAACATTCCTGAGATTGCAGATCGTACGACCTTCATCACTCCATCTACAATGTGATCATTCCTGTAGATCGATGATCCCCATGAGCAGATCCTACTACATTTGTCACTCCATCAGTAACTTCATGGTAGCTCGACAAATTGAACGTTCTTATTTCAGGAGAGATCCCTGTGTCAGTGGCAAGAGTTGCCACACCATGCAGCTATGTATATATTCTACATGTTACAACTCTTTCTATCACTTGCTTGATAACGGTGTTAGTACCTACACCGAAACGTCCACCCGTTGCAATAAAGAAGTTGTCTATCCATAGAACTCGGTTTTCCTTCATCTATCCAACTTCTAAAATGCCTCTCAATGAAGAGTTGCTAGGTTTCCTCACCTCAACTCAAGCCCTCACTTACAGAAGCCAACTACTACTGCGACCCTTTCAGAGATATTTGCGGCCGTACCTCAGTGTCAACGATCCCCAAGAGCTGATCCAACCAGCACTGTCTCTACATCCATTCCTTCGTTTGTGACTCAACGTCTGTGGAGGAGTGTGTTGTTTGATGCTGTTCAAACCCTCTCATCATCTATTCGTAGATGCGTCCCTTCAAAGATGTCAGGTAGCAGGGCAGTGGTCGCCCGATGAACAGGCCCTGCACATCAACAAGTTGGAGTTCAAAGCAGACATCTTCGCCATAACACTTTGGGCGCAAGACCTTTGGTCAACCAGTCTTCTGATTCAATCGCACTCAACAAATCTGTGACACCACTTCTGATCCCATACTCCGATTGCAAAGCTGTCAATAGATCTTATATCCGTAATCTAATGCAGAATAAGTGGGACGTCCAAGTAGGCGTTAACAAATTACATGCAATAAAACCCTATATTGGTTACAACTATTTGGGTTGTCAGTCCAAATATGAAGAGGTCATCATGTGTCGATGTTGCATTGGCCATACATGGTATACTCATGAATATTTGTTAAAAGGTGAAGATCCTCCATTTTGCATCCCTTGTGCTGAAAGAATCACGGTCAAGCATGTCCTGCTTGACTGTATAGATTTTTCCATCACAAGGGATGAATATTTCAATGTCAAAACATTGAAGGATCTTATTTATAATGTTAATTATCATTTAACTATTGAATTTTTAAAAGAAATAGAATTACTTGATAAATTTTGATTGATATGATTTGTATATAGATCTATATTCTATTTTGGGTAGTTTAAATTAGCAACTTAGATTGTTAGTGGCAGTATACTCACAGGGGGTCGAAGTATTGTAAAATTATTGTCCTCCTGTGGGGGTAAGTAAGTCCCAAAACATTCAAGGTAAATTTATACTTACCAGATTCTTTAAACGTAGTATTTTGTAAATTTAAATTATGGCCAGATTTGACTACAGTCGTCAGTGGCTGAAGGGATGGTGTAAATCCAGCTAGGGTCCATGTAGGTAGCAAAGGCATTGTAAGTCCCCATGGTCCCTAGTATGGTGATCTACCTTCAGTTGCTGGTAATCTATAGCCCATTTTTACATTGTATTGTCCAAAATTAGTTTTCTACTTTTAAAGATATATGCTAGCTAGTTCTAACTCATTTTGTGATTATCTAGTAATTTTACTGTCCTTCGTTGACAGGGTTTTATATATTATATGTATGTATTATGAATTTAGACCTTATTGTTTTTTTCATGATATGGCTGAAATATTGCCGATGTGACTTTAAATCTTAACTCACTCACTCACTCTGATTCAATCAACCATGGTCTGATACATCAATCATTTCGGATCGACTGGCTTGTCCCATCTTCTGGAGTGGACAATACAGTTCTTCTGGCTAAAACACTCCCTCTACATCGTAGCAAGAACCTCATCGCCGACGTCCTGAGTTGATTCGATCGTCCGTCACCGACGGAGTGGAAGCTGTATCCTCAGATCTTTCGGTCGATCTGTTACCCGATCACCAGACCTCTGATAGACCTATTCGTGACCAGATTCAACGATCCACTTCCAGAGCTAGTGTCGCCCATCCCAGACGTGATGGGTTGGGACCAGGACGCTCTAGCGATCTTCTTGGAGGGTCTCAACACTTACGCGTTTCCTCCGCCAGCTCTACTGCCCAGAGTAATTCAGAAGTCGCTGACTACCAAGGAGATAACTCTGGTTTTGGTTGCACACTTTTGGCCAGTGAGAAGTTGGTTTCTGGACCTCCAAAGGCTCGCCGATCCAAACCTCGTACCTCTACCCAGCCGAGATGACCTTCTGGTTCATCCTCACTTGGATCGTTACCACGGATCTCCTAAGACGCTAAATCTGCATGTTTGTCTACTGTTAACACAGTGTTAGCCAGGAATATTGGCGTCAAGGTTTCCTCCGTTCCAAAACTCCAGTATCTTTCACGCTCATATAGATTGGCTGACCAGTCGAGGAAATTCCGGCCTCCGGCTTGGGACCTCTACATCCTCCTTTGTGACTTTGTCTCTAGTGATTATAAACCACTGCATGAGAAGGAGTTTGAATGCATTACTTTCAAGACCTTCTTCTCAGTAGCTTTGGCTACTGTGACTTGAATATCATAATTCGACACGTTGGATGTTAATGTTTGAGCAGATGAAGCATTGCAAGGTTCTTCTTGGTCTCTAATGGGATTTTGTTTCGAAGAAGATTGTTTGTTTACCTCCCCTCCATTGTCCACTATTCTTGTTCCTAACGACACTGAAGATCTGGGGCTCTGTCCTGTTCGGACGCATCAGGTCTACCTCTCTGCGAGGAAATGTCGGAAATGGTTGTTCATTCCACTCTCCGCAACCTCCAGAGCCGTAGTTTCCCGGACTACCCTGTTCTTCTAGATGCCTTCCATGATACTTCAAGCCTATACCTATGCCGGCCTACCTCCTCCAGCCGCCTCTAACCAGCACAAGACTTGAGCATTGGCTTCAACCATGGCATTGCATAGCAACTGCTTCTTGGCGTCGATCATAGATGGAGCTTTTGGAGGTCAGATACAATCTTCTCATCGCACTACCTATGAGACCTCTCAGTCACAGATGTCGAGGGACTCCACCAGTTCGGACCTTGGGTGTTCTCAGAGCAGTTGTCTTCGGCCCACCAATGCAGATGAAGGCACTTGATCCCCGTGTGGTTCATTACTTCCTTGTACATACTGAATAACGTTTGAATTCTTCTTCACTCTTTGTTCTCTTTTATGTGCTTAGATTCACCTCGCTTAGTTACACACTAGGGCATTGAGTATGGCCACCGGACGTGACTTCCTCATAGACTTTGAGGCATAATCTTGTACTACGTTGCAGAGGTGATCGCCACTCATGCTTACTGTCCTTTACTCTTCGGAGCAATTACATCTGTGAAGTTTGAATTACCGAATTCCAGTGAAGTTTGATGGACACATCCTTGACTAAGCTTAGGCAAAGGTGCAAGGGTAATTCGATGTTGTTCGTAACTGAACATTAAAATAGTGAGCTTTCCGAGTGCTTTCCCCTGCTTCGAGGGGCTGGCCAGATTAAGGTTGAGATGTCTTAATTTACTGGGGCTTTCTGTAAATTGCAGTGAGGCGAGGTTTACTTGCCGAGCTACTTCCTTTCATCCTCGCACGAAGGTTGCGGCAGAAAACCACATTAACCAGGAGCACCCATCTCCCTGGGAGTTTTGTGCTTAGTACGCCAAGGGGTTCCGGAGAACCTAGCACAACCATAAGGGTAATGTAGTCTTGGGTTTCGTAACAGGCCTCACTTGTGCATCGCTATGTCTACAGTTACTTGGCACCAGCTGTCTGCACTGTCTAGGCCCAGGGTAATCTGCACCCGCCGTCCAACTGTGGGATAAGTACAAGGCATGAAATAGGAAAGTTTACAAATTTGGAAATTTTAACAATGATTTGTATATTTATATACTTATCCTATCTCAAGCGATGGATGCCCGCACAGCCTCCCCACTACTCAGATTACGACTTTGCTCAAAGAGCGAGGATGATCCGAGAGGGGTGGTCACGTGAGCAGGTAGTGGAGCGTGCTGCATGCTTCTCAGGAGACACAGAGGCTGTCCAATAAGGGGAGCAGCATGGAGTGCACGGGCGAATGGACAAGAGAGGCCTAGGATTTTGTTTGCAGTTCGTTTCCATTCAGCTGGTCAAATAAAGAGAGAGAGTACAAGACGTGAGATAGGCTAAGTATATAAATATACAATTTATTGTTAAAATTCCCAATTTGTGTCATATAATGTGTTTTTTCTGGAAGATTGACTTTTATCATCAGCCAGAATACCGGAGCAACCCTCATGAAGATCAGGAGCTTGTGGCAGCGATAGAACAGGCTTACTACAAGGATGAGACCTTTGACACCAGTGACTTTGAATTGCAGGTAATAGTAAAAATTTGAGATAATGCTAAGGAATTAAAAGTACAAGGAACGGAATGAAAATGAAAATTGGAACACGTGTATCTCCCAATTGAAGTTCCCTTCAATTAAAACATCACTAATTAGTACTCACCACGAGTTACCTCCCTTCCACAAGCGGGAATGAGGGCGCCACCTGAACCCATGTGCCTCACTCTCTCCTTTTGTTTCGAGCCCGACACTTTATTTTTCCGAAGAAATCCAAAGTGTTAAGTGGGGAGGACGGGAGGGCTTACCTCATGAGTCAGGATAAGTATAAAATATTAATTTTACTCTAAGCGCCTGTGTCTCCCAACACACTATATCCTTTATTTATATTTAGTTTAGTACCTCTTATATTCAGTTATAGAGGTGTAACTAGTATCCTTATTCAACTTGCATTGATTATTAGTCGTGTTTCTGCTGTTTTATTCACGGTTCGCTGTGTTTGTTCAGCAGTTTACGTTAATGAGAATCTGCACAGGTTGTAAACTACATTATTCCGCTACCGATCCACATTTAAAATGCCCTAGTTGCATTACTCCATGTTCTATTGTTTCTCGTTGTAAATTATGTATTAATTTACCAATTTCTGCCTTTGATAAATATTTATGTTCCGTTTTGAAACGGAAGGCAGATAAATCTCGCAAACAATCTTCAGTCATGGCTAATAGATCGGAAGCTATTATACCCTGTCAACTGTTGACTGACGACCCGCCACCGGCTGGTGACATGCCGGAGTTTCCCTCGGGGGATAAGCATGGGACGCAGTCCGCTATGTCCAAGAAGCGACCTGCATCTCAAGACATCCGTCTTCACAGTCTAAGACTAGGAAAGCATCCACATCATCTCAACGTACGCTTCGAACCCCCAGGTCCACAACTTCATCAAAAGGGAAATCTACGAAAACTACAATTAATTTTGCCTCCAATATTCTACCTGTCTCAGAATTATGTTTATATGATGATGACATTCCGATTATCATTCCAGATGTACGTCATAAGAAACGTCCAGTATCTGCTACCGTCACTACAGCGCAGATAAACACGCAACCAGAGATGCCTACGCTGACGCCTGAGTTTACGATTGAGGGTCCCGTCACTTTCACAGAGAGGCCACCCTCAACGCCAGCGCAGACCGTCCCAGACGACCTGGTTAACCAAATCATGAGACTGATGGAGGACCGTTACGGTTTACAGAGGCCCCAGAGCCACGGGCCCCAGAGCCCAACCCTTAATAAGTCATACAGGGCCCCAGAGCCCACCTTGGCTTCGCGAGGGGCCCCAGAGAGCCACAAACGCCTCCTCCAAGGGCAACCCAGCCCGTGAGCGATCATCACTTCGCAAAGGAAGTCCCAGGCGCCTCCGCGAAGAAGCTAGAGCCTATCCAGTTGGGCGAGGGACATCGCTGAGAAGGAGCGCGCCGAGCCCACACCCTGTAGAACACAGAGGTCGTTCGCGAAGCAAGCGCTCATATGTCGATTCGACACTGACTCGATACATTCGCGAAGGTCGCGAAGGTCGTGAAGGCTAAGTGGCTCCATATCTACCTCGCCCAGAAGATTTAGAAGAGCTTCGCGAAGTCCCCAGCGTTCGCCGAGGATGTCTCCTCCAAGGTCTGCTTACACTAGCCACTCGTCAGTCCGTTCACCACAGTCCTCTCATAGATCTTCCTACGGATCTAGGACTCCGACATGTGACCCTACATCAGAGGAAGAAGGTATCATTTTCTCAGATGCTGAGATCAGATACTGGATGGTGAATGAGTTACAACTTGCTTCCCCATCGAAGAACGAAAATTCAACTCAGACTTACCTGATGAAGGATGATGATGTAGACAATATCACCTTACCTCCTATTGATCCGATTGCAGCGGTACCAGCTAATTTGGATACAGCCTGTTCCAAATCTTCAAAAGTCCAATCTACACATTTCCGGTCTTCAATGCCAAGAAATTTGCTGGACACAATATGGACCCTTTTTCTAGGCCCAGGATATTGATGACAACTTTAAATTAATCAGCGATGCCAAGTCCAGAAGTTACAAAGTAGACGATCGCAAATTCGCTCAACTAGATACCATCGCCAGGAGGATGTTCTTTGGATTGAATAGATCTAGAACGATTAATGAAACTCTCATCACCAAGTTCAAGAATTCTACAGAGGAGGAAGATAGAATGATCTACTCAGCTCTACTCATGCAGAAAAGAGACCACCAATTTCTTACAGAGCACCTATCAGCTTACTGAAACTACTACCATGGCTCGTCATCGGCAAGGCTTACTAGCCTCCTGCTCTTGGGATAAGCAATTTACAGAATCTCTATACACAGCTCCATGGTCATCGCCCTTACCGTTTGGTGGCAACATAGACAAGGTCTCCAAAGAAGTATCTAAAGACTCAAGAGAGGTTCTTATGATCAGATCCATGGACACCTTAGCGAACGTCATTAAACAGTCAACACAGAGATACTCGGGCAAGTCTAAGTTTTCGGGGCTACAGAAAGCACGGGACAAGAAATTAGCTGCAGCTAAAGATCCCAAGGATTCTTTTCGTCGCCCATACAACAAATTTAGGGGAGGATCAGCTAGAGGCAGATCATCCAGAGGTGCCCGTGGATTTAGACGATGAAATTCAGGTTCGGAACGACTGGAGTCTTCCACCCCAGCCGTTCCAGTACAACCTGGGGAATACTACAAGATCCATATGTATCCAACATCCTACAGCACGGATATCTAATACAACTCAAGGCGAAGCCTCCGTTAACAGTCAACCCCCCAGGGTTCAACGTTCAACCGGCACAACTACCTATGTTAAGAGAAACAGTACTTACTCTACTAAACAAACAGGCCTTAGAAGTTCTGGATCAACGAAACATCGTACCAGGTTTCTACTCCCCAGTTTTCCTAGTGCCGAAGAAAAATTCCAAGGAGAAGTTTCGTCTCATATACAACATGAGCATCTTCAACAGAGAATATCTATGCAAACCTCCAACGTTTCGCATGATACACTTACCGCAACTTCGCATTTAATTCGTCCCAAAGATTACATGGCCAGCATAGATTTGCAAGACGCATATCTACACATTCCGATTCATCCCAACTCAAGGAAATATCTAAGATTTATCCTAGACGGGAAACATTATCAATGGAAGGTTCTTCCCTTCGAATCACATCGGCCCCTTGGGTATTCACAAGAGTGACCAAGCCTATTGTCTCATACCTACATCGTCAAGGTCTTCGCAGCGCTTTTTACGTAGACGACGGTATACAAGTGGATCCAGATCCACAGCGTCTCAGACTACAGCTGAACTTTATAATCAAGCTACTAACACAATTAGGATGGTTAGTAAATCTACTCAAGTCGGACCTAGAACCAACGCAAGATCTGCAATTTCTAGGTATACGATTTCTAACAGCTCAGAATCGTATTGTAGTCCCGAGGACAGATGGATCAAGATCCAACAACTTATTCCTCAAGCCCTACTCTCTCCGCTACCACTCACGACAGTGGCAGAGCCTATTGGGACTACTCACATCAGCTCAAGACTTGACAGTCAGAGGCAGGCTTCAATTACGTCCGCTACAAGTCCTCATCAATGCTCATCTCGAGGGACCTCTACCATTCAGTCTACCAGATTATGTCAAACCACATCTACTCTGGTGGACCAAGAGATTGAATGTTTTGCATAGGCGTCTCCTTAGTAGAGCCGAATCGAACACACATCTCTACGTGACGCTCAGCCACTACAAGGTTGGGGAGCCCACCTTGCTGGCAGGACAGCGCCAGGCCTATGGAGCAATCAAGAGAGCAAATGTCACATAAATCTGCTAGAGATGCAAGCAGTCATAAACGCCATAAGTCACTGGAGCAACATACTACAGAATGCTCAGTTGATGGTTCACACAGACATTTCAACAGTGGCGTTTTATGTGAACAAACAAGGTTCAACAAGGTCACAGAACCTACTGACTCGATGTTTCAGACTGTTCGATTTAATCGACAATCTAAACATACACGTCAGAGCTTGCCACATTCCAGGAGCAAAGAATGTATTAGCAGACGCTCTCTCTCGGCCACACCAACCGTCGCCGACAGATTGGATGCTCCACACAGAGATATTCAATCAAATAATCATGGAAATAGGATCTCCATTGATAGACCTATTCGCCACTCGATTCAACAAGCAACTGACCACATTTGTGTCGCCAGTGCCAGACCCACTAGCATGGGCAACGGACGCTCTAAGCATATCGTGGGAGAGACTCAACGCGTACGCTTTCCCGCCTCCAGCGTTGATCCCACAAGTCTTACAGAAAATCAGTCAAACGCAGAGCCTCCATCTGATTTTAGTCGCGCCCTACTGGCCAGCAAGAACTTGGTTTCCAGATCTCATTCAAGTAATGGGAAAACCAATTCTTCAGCTCCCCACAACGCCAATCTATTGATACATCCGCGACACCAAACAAGTGCACGAAACACCAGAAGCATTCCAACTTCACGTATGGATTGTATCAAGGCATGTCTGAATAAGAGAGGTTATTCTGCCAGAGCGGCTAAAGCGGTCAAGCTTGCACTACGTAACTCAACTCGTAACTTGTAACGATGACAAATGGCACAGTTTTGTCAATTACTTACGCTAAGAAAGGATTTACAGCCAGATATGCTACACATCCTCAAGTGGCAGATTTCTTATGTTATCTACGGCAAACTAAGAATCTAAAAGGCTCAACCTTGTCCCCTTATCTTGCAGCTATAAGTTCTGTCATAACTATGCGATCGGGCGTCAAGTTAACAAAAACACCAGAGTTACTCGCTTTGTTACGAGCGTTCCGATTGGAGGATCAGAAACGGAAGTTTCACGCTCCAGCCTGGGATCTAAATATAGTGCTCCAACACCTCACTAGTGAGGCTTATGAACCATTGCTATCTACATCGTTTGAATCACTGACCCAGAAAACTTTGTTCCTGTTAGCGCTAGCTACGG